GGCCGTCTGTCGACCCGGGACCATGGGAAGCGGGACTCCTGACCGGAACAAGCCAGCAGGCTCAGCCGTCTGTCGACCCGGGACCCAAGAAAAGGGACTCCTGCCGAACAGACCAGCGGCTCGGCTGTCTGCCGACCCGGGACCCATGGGGAGCGGGACTCCTGACCGGAACAAACCAGCGGGCTCGGCTGTCTGCCGACCCGGGACCCACTCGTCGAGCCCCGCTCGCTCAGATCTCGGCAGCAATGACAGCGTTCTGGCCGGCGAACAGCTGATTAGTAAGGCGGGCCTCGTCGTGATGATCATGGCGGCTCCTCGGCCCAGTTCGGGTCGCCGGACCCCGTGACATGACGGCGACACGCCGCCGATTTCACAAAATGGCTCCATATTGGTCGTGACGCGCACAAAACCGAGCCGCCGCGCCGTCAGCCGGCGCCGCGCCACGCTTGTCTTCACGTTCCAGTGACGATCACACGATCGGCCGATAAGTTTCGGATCTGCGCCGCATATCAAGCAGCTCGCCGCGCAGACTTCGGCTCATGGTCTGCAGAGTAGGCGTCCAAATCATCGTCACCTAGTTTAATGGGGCTACCGTTTGTTTTGGCCTGGATTCCGGCCGCGGCAGACGCAGCAGGACCTGCTTTCCCGACCTGCGCGTGCGCGTTCTGTCCCAGTGACGGTTCAAAGCGACGCCTCCAAATAGCAGCCGCCAGCTACGCATGGTGACACGTTCTAAAGACAGGCCTCAGTCAGTCCATGCTGAAGTGTGGGATTGGCTTTTGTTGACTTGGGTGGTGGTGAGAAGAGCCCTAATGTGGGCTACACACATTTATTGGCATGCAGTAGTCTCTTGCGTGGAGCGCGATGATGTGCTTGTCACGGCATCATGAATCGAAACATAGGAAGCGGTCCAGTTCTTGCACTACAATCAGTAACAGTGAGTGCAAACGTTCTACTCTATCTCCTCCGTGAAGCGCAGCGCAATTAGCGCTCGGCGAACCGGTTCGTCAAGTTGGCAGTTCCCGTCGGCTCCCACCGGCTCCCGCCGGCATGCCGGCGGGAGCGGGGCGGTGCCGGACACGTTTCACAAGCGCCTGCCGGACCATCCGGACCACCGTTTGCTGAACCGGCCAGGCCGCCGTCCGCTGCCATGGGTGTGGCAATTGCCCAAGGGTGCCACGGCCATTGTGACAGCTGCCGGCCATAGCTTTAACGGTTTATCATCGCCGAGGAGTCATGCAATTCCAGTGGGTACTGACGTGGGTGTTTTCGTCACTCCCTGGATGAATTACGCCATCGGCGACCTTCAAATGTTGTGGAGGCGGGAGTGGCTGTTTACGTGCGTAAGCTGCCACATCAGGTCAAAGTCACTGTTCAGCTGCTAACGTTCACCGTGTTTTGACACATATTTAGGCAGCTTCTAAGCGATGCAGCGAATCGATGTCGGCAGCAAAAGAAGTGGGATGATTCTACTCGTTGCGTGGAGTTGCTTCGGATACGTCAGCCGAGCCTACGCGTTACTGCAATAACCTTGTTCTGCTGAAGGGGTCTGGCATCTCTACATCTGGACAGACTGGTTTACATCTAGGCCTTTTCATCATCTGGTACATCTGGTATAACAGGGGTCAGCACTGAAAGTCTTAAAGTAAAACAAAATGAGAAATCACAGATTTAGTTATTTTTGTACCTGACATTTCACTAAGCCAATGCACAGCGGCATCATGTTGCATGAACGGCCGCTGCAGCTGATCTATACGTCAAATGGCGAGATTTTATCATGACTGCTGCAACCATGAAAGCCCTGCAACTTAGCACGAGTGCGTTTTAGCGGGTCCGTTGACCTGCACGCCTCTGAGAGAGTCGTGTCCCTGGCGGGGTGGTAGCAGCAGCTGTCTGTTAGTCGACAGGCCGCGCGTGGACCCGCCGGCCCGTGGCCGCAGCCGCGGCCGTGGGTCACTGACCCACCGCCCAGCGGCCTCCGCCAGCGCCACCCACGACCGAGGGCGCCCGCCGCGCGCGGCCGGAGCGGGGTGGGCCGTCAGCGGGGGCGGCGCTGTCCGGCGGCTCGGCGCGCCCGCCGCGGCCGTCTGGGGTGCCGCGGTCACACTGACCGAGTATAGAGTCCCTCGCAGCCGCGATCGGGATCGTAGGCGCACTGCAGCGGCACAGGTTAGCAGGGTCACATCACCAACGGCAGAATGTTTTTTTCCGAAGGGATAAACCCACGGAAATGGTCGGAACTTAATGTTTTTGTGTGGCATTGCATTGACCAGTGGTGGCAGCATATTCCACGACTTCACGAATGGGGCGCAAGACAATCGGCTCCATGCGGAATGTCTGTGGTGGCAGAAGGTGCAAGGCTGAGCCGCGCCAGCATGGCCCAGCGACATCCTTGTGCTGGTCTGAGCTGAGCTACTGCTGTCTGATTTGTGGTGACTTGTCGCAACTGGCTTCTATCGCCTCCTGCGACGCTCTCCTGACGTTGAGACCCCTCCCCCCCAGTGCGGAGCTTTACGTCCGTCGTCACCGGTTCGACAGGCGACCGCTTGAGGCCGCTGCTCCTACAGCCTGGCCGCCGGACAGCCCAGTGATGGCGTGGTGCCCGCCGCCCCGAAGCGTGCCTGGACAGTCGCCGGCCTCCGGCCCATCCGCCGAGCGGTCCCGGCCTTGCCGGAGCGCGCGGCACCCACTGGGCGCTCCGGAGGCGCTGACTGGTGCCGCCCTCCTGTCGCTGCTGGCGGCTGCCCTGGCCGGCCGTGGTCCAGCGAACGCTGGCGGCGCACCTGTCTGCCGGCGGCCGCCGCCGGTGACCGTGATGGCGGTGAGCCGGCCCGACCCCGCCGCTCGCCGGCGGTCAAGCGCGTGCACGCCGCGGTGGCGTCCTGGTCAGGGCGCCGGCCGCAGCGCGGCTCTCGCGGCCATTCCTGACGCGGCGCGATCATTAGTGGTGCGATCGCCAAGGTCGCCGATGAACGCAGCTGGTTGCGTGAGGAGTGCGGCCTGGCCGGGGGGAGCGCCGGTCACCGCGACGAGGGTGGACGGGACCGGGGGGAGAGCGCCGGTCACCGTGACGAGGGTGGAGCCGGCCGGGGAGGGGAGGGGGGGGGGGCGGGGGCAGACACCGCAGCGAGGGTGGACCCGGTCATGGAGACACCGACTATCACGACGAGGGTGGGCGCGGTCGGGCCGGGGCGTCTGGCGTCCGCCGGGCTGTGGTGATCTCAGATTCAACAGCATGTCCACAAATCCAACGCGAACAGCGGCGACCACTGAAACTGACCTACCGGCCCGTGCATCCTGGCCCATTCCGGACGCCGCGCCCGCCCCCTCTTCTCATGCAGCGGGCCATCTCACGACGCTGATGCACCGTTCGACGGCGGCGTATTCATGTCACCCAGTTTTCACCCTCGAAACTGGGACAAGACTCTTACAAGGATTAATGGCTCAATACGTTATGCGCGTTCACACCATGAGAGAGCCCTAATGCCATTCAGCCGGGCGTTATCACGCTAGGTGCCGATGCCCAGCCACGCTTCGTGACTGCGATGTTTCCGGTCAATTCAAAGGTCATCCTATCCGCGTGGTTTCGTGGCGGCTTATCGCGGCTTCGTGACGTTATCGGGCTTCTCGGGACGTTATCGGGCTGTGGTTGCGTGGCTTCTCGGGTGTCCTCTGTCCATTGTTCACGGACGTACATCGATCGCGGTCGAATGGTCCGTGCCTGGACGGTGGACGACGTGCGGGGGTGTCCGTTCACTTCCGTCCTCGGCGATGGGACAGTGCGACTACAGCATCTGCGAGCCTTTCCCGGGGTGCGTGCTTAATGCTGTCGCTTACACGACGCAGACGTGTCCAGCTCCGAGCCCAGGCGTCTGCCTGGACACGGGCGGCCTCGCCGTTCACACCGGTTACGGTCCCACGCCGTCACGTAAGGCCGATGATGAACTGCCGTAGTCGGCCGAGCACAGGCGTTGCGCGGCGTACTGCCCACTTCTTGCGGGATTTGATCAGAATTTACGCTGGTGTCGACAACGGGTGGTTGAATCTGATGCGAAGCTCTTTAATGGCTGCTCACTGTGATGTTCAAGCATATACACAGCAGGAGAGTAGCTGAGCAGTGCTGCGTGAGTTGTAGTGTGTTGTTGCACTTTGGATTTCCGGTCTGTGGTCAACCTTTTGAGCCTCGATGAGAGCCAGGAGGCACACAGTCACGCAGTTCCGGCCCAGCCGAAATCAGACGTAATTAGTACAAATGGGCTCATCACAACGGTGTAAGAGTGCCGCAGCAGCGCGCTTGTGCCTAATGTGATGTTCAGTTATCCGCCGCCGGCACCGGAACCCTCAGCACATGAAGCTTGAAAACCCTCTGTGTGGACGAGCCCTAATGTGTGGCGTAATTGTGCCGTTTGAGCTGTGGTGAATGCCTTAAGGGAGCCGTTGGTGGTGCCCCGCGCGCTGGCTGCAGGGGGCGAAGGCTGCGCCACTCACCAGGGGTGTGCTTTTCCTGTTTCAGTTGCGATGGGGGTGGGGGTGGGAAGCTCTCGTCCCAAAGTTTGAGAGGAAAGTGTGTGCAATCTGGTAAAAAACCCGTTTTGATGCATTATAGCCTACCCACTTCTGTGGGCTTTGCTAACCGCCTCACTGCTACTCCCCCCAACTTATGTTGCGAAACTACGCCCCTGGTTACCACTGTGTTCTGCCACCGGTACTTCTCCGCTCTATGGCAAATGTTATAAGTGGCTGACTCCCCACACCTGGCCATGCATCACTATATCCTGCAGTGTCCCAGCCGAGCAGTGACCATTCCACTCTTGCACAAACTCTGCGTGTTACCGACGGAACTGGACGACACTCTATGTGGAACAAAGATTCGTGTGTCACAAGCACTCTATGCAATTGTGTCTCCTCACAGACACGCTCTCGATAACTGCGTCGCCACAGACACGCTGTTGACTGCATTCCTTCGCAGACACCATCTTAACAACTGCGTCTCTCCACAGGCGCTTCTTTTGGCCATGCTGCTGGCCGGAGCCGGCGCCCAGTCGCTGAACCTGATGGAGTGCCTGCCACAGCGGCCGCTGGAGGACGTGGAGGGCAACAGCCTGAGCGCGGACGTGCTGCACCTGAGCCAGATCAGCGTCCCGCAGTCGTGCGTGCCCATCCTGTGCGCGGCGGACGTGCTGATCGTGCACGTCGTGGCCGGCGTCACCTACGCCTCGGTGCACGTGGACGACGCGACAGAGCCCGGCGCCGGCTGCATGGCCGACGTGCGGCAGTCGCGCGACACCTACCAGCGTTCCAATCTTCCGATGACGTTCTACTCGGCCGGCGACCTGCAGCTGGTGCTGCACGACTCGGCGTGCCCGGCGGCGCGGCGCGACAAGCGGCGCCTGCTGCTGCTCACCGCGCTCAAGGGCAGCTCCGTCCAGCCGCTGGAGGCATTTATCCTGTGCCAGTCGGAGTTGCAGGTGACGCGGCCGGCCATGCTGGTGCAGCCGCACAGCCAGCGCGGCGTCGTCACGCACGTCACCATGTACTCGGGCCCGCAGGCGCGCTCGGCCGCCGCCGGCTTCGTGCCCCAGTACGCGCGCCTCGAGCTCGCCAGCGACCTGGTCGTGTCCGTGCTGAGCTCGTGCGTCGGCGACCCGTCCAAGATGGAGCTGATCAACAAGCTGGGCGCCACCTGGCTGGGCGAGATGGACTCGTGCATGCGGCTGCTCTGCCACTCCAGCATGGAGGAGCTGGCGCTCGGCTACTACAACTACCTGCTGTACGACGACGACAAGGTAGAGGGCGAGGCCTGCTTCAAGGCGCTGCAGAGCAACTCCATCGGCTCGACGGTGGACACGCCGCTGACGCAGGTGCGCGTGGTCAGCGCCGAAGGCGACACATGCACCGGCACCAAGATCATGGTGCTCAACCCCACCTACTCGGGCACCTCGAAGAAACTGCAGCGCTTCCTCTACTACCAGGCGTACAAGATCCACTCGTTCGACTGTCCGGAGCTGGCCGAGACGTGCCTGCGGCAGAAGCTAGCGCAGCTCGGCTACGACGGCCCGCGCGTGCCGACCCAGTCCGAGTTCCCCTACCAGTGCGCCAACCTGCTGTGCGACTCCCGCGTCGGCCTCACGCCGGCCGCCTTCCAGCCGGCGGCGTTCCGCGTGACCGTCGAGAACGAAAAGATCCGGCCGCTCAACAACGTGTGCTTCAAGTCGCTGAGCCGCTCCAAGACCAGCCGGCGCGCCGACGAGCAGACGGTGCAGACGGACGTGCCGTCCCTCGGCGTCACCGTCATCTTCAGCTTGATGTAGAGACGGCGCCCGGCCGCGCGACGCCGGCGGTGTTATCCATGTTATCCTTAGCTGCAGCGTAAGAGCATGTACATATCCATGTTGTCTCTAGATGCAGCGATGAAGCGTGTGTATATCTGGTACGTATAGCGTTGGGCGTTTGCGTGTTGTACCTGGTGTGCTATAGTGCAGCCACCAGGCCCAAGAGCAAGCAAGGAGCCCCCGCGCTGCGGATGTTTCTTCACCAAATGTCGCCGAGGCGTCGCAGTATTCTCACTGACCTCTTCTGTGGATGCGCACAGTTGGAGGGCGGTCTCTCATCGTTGCGCGTGTCTTATGCTCTGTAGCCATCGTTGAAGACCTTACTCATTGAAGTGTTTCATTTGTTGTGTGTAAATACATGTCTGCCGTAACAAAACGCGTTGACATTAACGCCATTAAGAACAGGATGGCCTGTAAGGTCAGGCTTAGACAACAAGCTCGAATCTGGCCCCTGCCTGTTAATTTTGAGGATTTGTTGGAATCTGAGCAGTACAGGACACGGGCGGTCTTGTACCACATCACTTCTCTTCGTCTTTCTTTACACAACACACATGCTACAAACCCTTCTCCTCCATGATCCATCGACCAAAACAAACTGAAAAAATGAATCAACGCCACACTACGAGGGGGCAGCTGAGCGAGAGCCACTGTGGACCACCAGGAAGCCGCAACAGGACATCTAAAGGCCATCAGTTAAGCCAAGCTCGACGCAGAGCACCAGCGGCCAAATCTAGCTTTACTACCAGACACTTCATTCGGTCTCACCCGCTATTGAACGAGTGCAGCTGTTCAAAACTTCAGACGCTTCACAGGGCTAAGGCTGATCACGTGTTTCCCCGATCATTTTCAGACACAAAGAGGCGATGGCTCTGGGCTCGTAAATCAGGTACAGAGCGGTCGCGCGGGTCTCATCTGGCCAACACCTGGTCAGCTTGACGCAGAGCACCAGCGGCCTAATCTGGCTTTACTACAAGACACTTCATTCGGTCTCACCCGCCATTGAACGAGTGCAGCTGTCAGCTGTCCGCCTCGGGGTCCACAGGAGAAGCTCCGGGACACCGGCGTCCCAGACGCCATGGGACCATTTTCGTGCACGGAGCCCCATGAGATACTTCGGACGTAAGGTCCTGCTTCACAACGTATATGCTACGAAGACACACACACACACACACAACACTCCACACCGCACCCTATATATATAATAGATATATATATATTATATATATAGATATACGCCTTCCGCTTTCCTCCACCTCCTCTCTCACATCCATCTCTCTCCTCTCATCCTCTCTCTCTCCCTGCTCCATCGTCTCGCTCTCTCTCTCGCCTTCTCTCCTCCATCTCTCTCTCGCTCTCTCTCTCTCTCTCTCTCTCCTCTCTCTCTAACCTCTCTCTCCTGCATCAGGACCAGTTCGGTAATGAGATCGCATTCGCTTGTCCGTAAACACGTAATTTGCATGCCCAGCAATCCCATACAAACAGCAAGGTGCGCGAAAGCAGGGCGGTACGACAGTCCAGAGTCCTGGCCGGAGACGGCCCGCCCATGTAGTAATTTTCTTTCTCCCGGGCGAAGTAATGTTCGCAGCACTCACAAGTCACGCATGGCACACTCCACCGGACATTTCCACGTTGCGTTGTGGCTCGCTCCATCGCCAGCAATATCCCAGATTGGCCCATGCGTAGTCTCCGTAAAAGCGCGCCATGCTGCAACACCGCACACCTCGACCCGCGGCGCGAGCGCACGAGCCTGCGGCGGCGCGGCCATTCTGGGCAGTGGGTCACGTCAGCACGGACGCTGCTCGCACTATCCTCTCCCGCAGCGTCCCACGCCTCTGGAAACTCCCACAGGACCGCCTGGGGCGGCGCGCCCGCTGCCGGCCGGCTACCGCGCCGTTCCGGCTCGCTGGACACGTCGCTCGCCGTGAGGCAACGCTGATAATTTGGTTAACGCTGCAGAGCAATGCGCAGTTTGCAAAATGCTCGGCTTGCGCCAACCGTTTTGCAACTGGGCAGGAAAGGTGATGTAAAGGTACACCGCCGGCACCAGGAGGCCTCGGTGACGGTGGCACGAGGGTCTCGTACGTCTCTGTCAGCGCTACAGACTTCTAACGCGCTCGGCGTCCGTGGGAGAGCCGAGCCGACTACAGTGGCAGGGGCAGGGTGGCGAGGGTGCGCTGACCCTCCTGGAAGTCACGGCCGACAGCCGTGTGACGGCTCGCTGCAGCGCGACTGTCACACGGCTACCGGCTGGACTGGCGGCTTAAGTGTCGCCTAGTCCAAATCGGGCGACACTGCAGCCGCAGGGGCGTTACCTTGTCATCGAAGCAGGCATGAGCGACAGTTACATCTCAGATGGACGCCAGACACGGCTCGGTGGGTGGGATTTCGGAGCTTAATGCCCAGCGGTTATTGCTCAGCACGACCAGCACGCGGGAGTTCATGTTGCTACTTTTCCGCTGACGCCGAACAGGAAGTCTCGCTTTACACAAATGGCCGTGTTTAGACAGCAGCATAGTGGCGCGCTGCTTTGCAGATATTTAAAAACTAGATATTTTCAGGATTTTTTCAGCACCTTGTCTGCTCCTCGGGTTCGTCCCGCGTTGGGCATGACCCTACACCGCTACTGACTGGGTACGCCCCTGTGCTCCCGGGCAACGTTGCATCCGAAGACGGCGGTAGGTCGGGTCAGCTCGGGCAAAGGTCACTTGATGTAGAACGGCTGCGGACAGCATTCTGAAAGAGAATGCATGGGTATATGCCACGTGACATGCCCACAATTTGCTTGCTTGTTCATCCCTCACGCTTTATATGCTTGCGAATTTCAGCATGGCATTGCAAAGCTTTTGCAGCATATTTCAGCATCACGGCTACTCAATATTGCAAAAACAGTCCCTTACAAACTTCGGACAGTTCAGCCCCAAGCCACTATTCGAGTCGGCCGGCACCACCTATTTCCGATGAAACTCTGCTATCGGTTTTGGTAAACAGCCTTGGCTTTTATACACCTCCGCCTAACTGCAACATGTGATGGCGTGACATGCATGCGACGGACGACAGTCGTTAGAGAGTGTACTAAGGCATGGGTGGGCTAACTTTCCTTTCACCTTGCATATTTACAAAGCATGGTATCCACAGCTTGTATTTTTTCTTAGCAAAACAGGAAAGCTCTTGAGGTGACGGCGATGGCTGCCGGAGGGGGTGCAGTTCGGCAGCCATGGCCAGGCAAAAGGCAGGCGCCATTCACACCGCCCCCACCGAGGTGTGAACCAGACAGGGTTTATTGACAGCGATCCCGGCCATTTCACCAATGAATTGGCAGGATTGCACGCTAAGAAGTAGAACGGGCTGTATGCATGGCGGAGGAAAGTCCAGCGTGTCAGTGCCGCCTGACGATCAACAGATCCCAGATGCCCAGTAGCTGCGGCGCCGTTGAGAGAGTTCTACGGCGTTCGGCCAAAACAGAGAGAGTGGTACATTGCACCCACGACAGCACTTACCGCGTTCATGCGGCGAATGCGCGGTGCCGGGCGACGCAGTACATCGAGATCAAACTGGGCTTGCCGACAATTCAGCGGCGACAGATTTTTCAAAATGAACTGCGCAAGACGTTCAGCTGCGGTTTTCCAATTCCCTAAGGATGGCTTTCCAACTCCTTGCTGTATTTCACAAATGGGTTCAAGTTCTGTATGTGATCGCCGTGAATACCAACAATGACCGGTTTGCGTCCATTGACCCTTGCCCTGGTGCAGCGGCGGCGCAGCATACGAGGAGGGGGGGGGGGGGGGGTGCTTACGTGGATTACCAACATTCAGATTAGGGAAGCCCCATAGTCGAGCCAGAGGGTACTAGCCTGGCTCAGAAGACTCTTTCCGCGTCAAGAGGGCCGCTTTCTGACACCGCCTTTATCGATAAGGTAGTCCATGTCTGGATCAGGAGGCCCGATCTAGTGTTAAGGAGGTCCTTTGCTGGCTCGGGAGGCCAGAAAATGTTCCGTGTGCGCAGGAGTGCACACAGCAAGAGACAACACAGAAACACATTGAGCGTGTGGTCGGCAGGACAGATAGACCGAATTCCACATGGTTTTAATCCATTCTGACGGTGAGTGCTGGCTGGATATTACCCCGCTGAACCGGTCCGAAAGCATGTCCGCTTTTGAAAGAGGGCGCTCATTCTGCATCAGACGAAAGCGATGTTACACAACCGCACACGCTAACCACGCGTAGGAACGTGACCAAGCGTTAAACCAAACGCGCTAAGCTATTACAACGACCGTTTATAACACTGGACGGCTTCCCACCAATTGGAAGTGCCTGCCCCGTCTAATAATGGTTCGGGTTACAGCCGTATGGGTGCCAAACAGACCGTGGGCGTCAGCTTTTTGAAGACCAGGTAAAGAGACCGAGGGAGAGAGTGCCATGCAGATCTTTATTGGCGCCATCAACCTTTACGGGACTTTCTTGTGCTGTCAGCAGAGATGCTGCTGTCGCCAGATGTGGAGAAATGCTTTCTCTAGTCGCATGCTAGGCTGCGTGACGAATCCCAATTCACGTCGTTGTTCTAAAGCGCCACCGCATGCGCTGGATGTCCGTGCCTGATGCCTGATCCCTGGCGGACAGAGTCTGGGGCAGCGTCTGTCCCAGGTCTGCCGGGCCGAGTCTGAGGCAGCGTCTATCCCAGGTCTGCCGGGCCGAGTCTGGGGTAGCGTCTATCCCGGGCCTGTCGGGCCGGGTCTGGGGTAGCGTCTATCCCGGGCCTGCCGGGCCGAGTCTGGGGCAGCGTCTATCCCGGGCCTGTCGGGCCGGGTCTGGGGTAGCGTCTATCCCGGGCCTGCCGGGCCGAGTCTGAGGCAGCGTCTATGCCGGGCCTGTCGGGCCGGGTCTGAGGCAGTGTCTATCCCGGGTCTGTCGGGCCGGGTCTGGGGTAGCGTCTATCCCGGGCCTGTCGGGCCGGCTCGCCCGTGCGCCGCTACCACCAGCCGGAGATCAGCCGCCGCTGCGGGATCACGGCCGTGACCGATCACGACCGTGGGCCGGCAGCCAGCCGTGACGTCACGTGTGCCCGCAGGGAGAGGCCCTCATCAGGCTAGACGTCATGACAATGTCACGGGGCGGCCACCCCGAGACCCCGCGGTCCCTGACCGCCTACCACGGGATCCTGCGGTCCCCAGCCGGCTGCATCAGGACCCCGCGGTCCCCGGCCGGTTGCGCCGGGACTTCGCCCTTCCCGAACGTCCGTCTCGGGACCTCACAGACCGCCAGGGTACCGGCCGCGCCGCGATGTGTGCCTCTGCGTCAGCTGTGCCGCGCGTCCCAACGGAGCCGGCACGACCGCCAGCTTCGGTCAAGGTCGGGGCTGTACACCGACAGTGTCGGCGCCAATCGGAGATCGCAGAGTCAAGGTGAGCGGGGCTAGTCGTGTTTCCTGAGCATGGCGACGCTTGGTTAGATATACGGCTGATTTCGGTGCACGAGTGGCCGCCGGCGCGGTCGGCCGAGGCCGGCGGCCGCTGCTGACCGCCTCACGGTCACCTAACGGCCGGCAGACACGGCTGGTGTCCGGCTGATGAGCTGCCGCTGGCTGGAGCGGCCAGAGCGGCCACATACTCTGCTGGAAAACAAGCCAGGTGTGGGAGGAGTCCATCGGCTCGCTTCCCAGGGACCAGTCCCGCACCATTCACCGAGGCAAAGTGCAGTCACTCCAACCCACCTGCCTGAAGCTTGATGAAGTTCCATAGTCGACTCAGTCCAACCTGTCCCAGCAAAGTTATTTTCCAGCATAATCCGTATCAGTCCATCGCGTATTAGCCATGCGCCCAGCCCTGCGGCAGATGTCCGAAGTAAGCTGTTTGGTCATTTCACGATCTTTTAATTTATGTCGTACACCAAAATGCTGCTTTCCATCAACCCTGACGGCAAACGTTTAGTTCACTTTAATTCCCATTATTCCCGCTTCAGTGTTGTTCGACCCAATTCGTAAAGAGCTCTGATGTCCAGGTTTCTGATGTCATTTGCCCAATTCGCTACATATTATGTACGTGTTGTTTGCGCTTAACCTGCTTTGCCTCCCCGGCTGCCGGCTTCGTCGCACACGGCACGGCTCGGACGTACGAAACCCCGGGAGGCCGTGCATAATCAAGACACAGCTGTAATGGCAACCGCCAGCTCCAAAAGGCCCGTCGACACCGTAACGATGGCCCTGCACACATGAATAGCGCTCGGTTCCCAGAAGGTAAGGTCACGCGGAGAAGAGCGGGGGAAGCCTGCCTTTGTGCAGCCGTAACCGTTTATAGGTCGGAAGTGATGCAAGTTTATCACCGTGGACAATTATGTCCAGGGTTTGGCACCAACATCTGTGCCCAACGCTTCCAGGTAGTGCATATGAATGATTGTGCATGGTGCCTCAATCTCAATCTCTGGTGAACCAGCACGTCGCGTTTGCGTTTGTCAGTGTAACCTAACACGGGCGAGTAGCAGCCTCTGCAATCTGAGCAGGAGGCTCGTGCAGCACGAGAGAGAGAGAGAGAGAGAGAGAGAGAGAGAGAGAGAGAGAGAGAGAGAGAGAGAGGAGAGAGAGAGAGGAGAGAGAGAGAGAGAGAGAGAGGAGGAGAGGAGAGAGAGAGAGAGAGAGAGAGAGAGAGAGAGAGAGAGGAGAGAGAGAGAGAGAGAGAGAGAGAGAGGAGAGAGAGAAGAGAGAGAGAGAGAGAGAGTAGAGAGAGAGAGAGAGAGAGAGAGAGAGAGAGAGAGAGAGAGAGAAGAGAGAGAGAGAGAGCAATCCATTCGAAACCTTAACCACTCGACACACAAGTGAGTCGACTCTGTGTTAATACATCAGACCCGAATTGTTTGACCACGGGAGAGTCCGGTCTGCCGGATCCGTGAGTCGCCTGCGCCGTTCGTGTCACGACCGATGAGTCAGGGACCAGTCAGGCGGGGTCAGGCGGGGTCAGGCGGCTCATGGCTGATCACGGCCAGTCCGACCGGACCGGACCGGACACCGCTCGATTTACAACAGACGGCGGCCGGAGTCCACAGTCACGTCCCGACGGGAGCCCACGGTCACGTCTCGGCCGGAGCCCACGGTCACGTCCCGACGGGAGCCCACGGTCACGTCTCGGCCGGAGCCCACGGTCACGTCCTGACCAGAGTCCACGGTCACGTCCCGGCCGGAGCCCACAGTCACGTCACGGCCGGAGCCCACGGTCACATCTCGGCCGGAGCCCACGGTCACGTCCCGGCCGGAGCCCACGGTCACGTCCCGGCCGGAGCCCGCGGTTACGTCCCGGCCGGAGCCCGCGGTGACGACCCAGGTCGTCTGCGGCGCCCCTGCCGCAGCTCGTCGGAGCCCGGTGGGCGACCCGGCTGGCGCTGGTCGCCGCCTTCCCGCCGGTGAACCGAGCCGGCCCTGTCCAGCCCATCGAGGCCCGACCCCGGGTGGTGCCACCACCACGAGCCATTAAGCCGGCCCGCTATCCGAACCACCGGTAACATAGCATGCCTTCAACTTGTGAGCGGTGCAAAATGGCTGATGACTTGTCATCTACTCCCAGTTAACATCGCTACACATTTCAGTCGCACTCCCTTTATAAGGCAGGGAGTTGTCTCATTGTAAATATGTACACCTAGTTAGTATTTGGGCAATATGGCTCAGATCTAGTTACACCAAGCATGGAAGAGTCACTCGTGTTATGTGTGACATTGGCTCAGAAAGTCAAAGAACATTGTACATTACGATCTCATCAATTTGCTGCGCCCCAACTTATAACGTTGCAGACCGTTTAGTCTGAGCATAACTTCAGGCAACAACGTGCCGGTGATCAGCGGCGCATGTGGGAGCTGGCTCACATTTCAGGAGCTGAACTGTCTACCGCAGTACAAACAGCCAGCCTTGCTTGAGGCTTCAGGTACGGTGGGTTTTAACAGCGTCACTCAGGCAGTCAGGCCGTGGACATTACATACCCTATACCGAAGGCGCCCCGGCACCCTGAAGTACGGAAGCGCGGAACGGTTGGTGCGGGGCAGAAGCAGCCTTTCGAAACCTTTTTTACGATGAAACTTTTTGGAAGCTAATATTAACCTGCCGTGGGGGGGGGGGGGGCTTCTGCCTCGTCATTTCCCCGGCCTTGCCCGCTGGTGAATGGGTCCGGTGGCTGTTGATGCTATGCGCTTCCACTCACCCGCGTGCAGTCGTCTAGTACTGGTGGTAACCGCCCGCTGCGTATCCCTCCCCCCCCCCCCCCCCCGACAGCGACGCAGGATTGGTGTAATTCGAGAGCGTCACGGGCTATCACAATTCCACCGCAAAAGATGTGATGATTTTACAGGCAAACAACGTGGATAGATAGCAGTTCAATGCTGTGGGCACGAACGTCGGAAATGCTTTCGGAGCATGCCACTGTGGATGTCATCGTATCAAAACGTTGTTCAAGCGCTCCAGGGTGTCATGTCTGTTCTGTCAAGACCCTAAGACCACACGTTAGTATGGTCACCACTGAACGTCCGTACCCAAATCTGGCCTCAACTGGCGCCTCGCCGCGCCCCATGCACACAGTACGGCCGGCCGCGGCTCTGGCCGCTGCTCTCAGGAGGCAGCGTCGGTCCAGCGGAGACGCGCGGGCGCAGTCGGCGGCCGGCGCGGCCCGCTCTGGCGCGCCGCGTCAGACGTCGGCCCGCCGCCGGCACGTCTGCTGACGGCGGGCACGAGCATGCGGCAGACCCGCCACCCCGTGACGCACCGTCGCCGCGCCCACTGCTAGAGATCGTGGGAAGCCGCGCCACAAAGGAGACTCGCGAAAGCGGTGTTTTGTTTTATTTTGGTCGATTTCGTTGCACAACGCTCGCGTTCCGTCCTCCCCGGCCGGGAGAGCTCGAGGCTGACAGCCGGCCGTGGGAACACACGTGGGCGCACGCTACACTTCATTGGCTGCCCGGACTTTGCGCAAGGTAGTCTAAAAACACAATGCGAGCAAACTTGTGCAGACGGCAGATACAGAGGTACTCTGTACCTGGTCAGATCTCTCACACCATGTAAAACGGCGTACACATAGCCTATATATAGGCAAAAAGTGCCCGCCCAGCTATGCGAAACCCCGTGATTCGCATTCAGGTGCAAAACTGGTCGGTGAAATAAACGCTTCGAAAGGGAAACTGCACGCATTAAGTGATTTCATCAGAACAAAAAAATTTACAAAGCACAAATAAAGCGTGAATACCGTGGTCGCCATCACACAAACGGGTTACTGCATCTTGGATACAAAAAACAGCGTACCACATACAGTGTCAGCATACAATATTGGTTAATTCCAAAAGCTAGGAAAGTGGCACCAGGCACGCGGATGAGAGGCGTTTCCATGATGCAGTCGGCATCGGGCCGCGCGCCTCTCCACCCACGTTCGCTGCTCGGCGTTTACTGAGGTACAATCCGCAGACTCGCTGACGGAGCCTGCCACATGACAGGCGCTGGGGCGCCTCGGAGGCCGCGGCGGGCCTCGAGGCCCGGCCGGGCCCGCGCCCGGCCCCCGTATCACCCGGCCGGCAGTCGGCAGCTGCCCTCAATACAAACTGGTCCGTTTGGCACTAGACACACTCACAGCGGCGCGCACGCCGCGCGCTCCGGTCGCGGCGCACGCCTGGCGGGCGCTTAATCCGCCCGGCGGCGGCGCTCACGCCGCCTCCAGCCTCACGCACGCATGACTCTCACGCACGCACGCCCATCCCGGCCGCTCGGCAACGCTGGCCTCTACGCGAACCGGTCGTTCCCGTTCGACCCATTTAAGTCCAGGTCGGAGGTCTGAAATGAAGAGGGCGCAATTAGTGAGTGACTTGCAGATTTGCACGCGCGGAAGCGAAGCCGGCCCTCCCGTCCTACGTGCCTGACACGCCGGCGTTTGGCACGAGCACGGCAAGTGACAGGGATCACCATGCAGCCATTGAGCAAGAGCCCCGTGTCAGGTGTTCAACCGTGGGAAACAGTAGCGGGATGCTTCAGACGACGAGGCAGACCATCTTGTAACTGAAGAGCATCTGAATTCAGATAAACACAGATTTAAACACGTCTCTCGGTTTCAGCGCCCTCTTGCTTACCCATGTAGATGCTTGGACATGCTGCTTGTTAATCAGAGCGTGTCAGAGTGCCATCGATTACGAAGCTTTTGGCTTTAACGGTTATTACACGTATGAAAGGAAACGTTGGGCTCACAAGCTGTTTGCTTGGAACGCATACCATTTCAAGGCGCACGTAAACATGATGCCCTGCGTCCTTGTATGAGGGCGGACAAGGTGAGACTTTCACGTTGGGTGTGGGTAGTGGTGCACCCCAGCAGGGCTCGATGAGCTGGGGTCCCTACCACAGCTGACCGCGGGCCCCTCAGGGCTGCCCCTGAGTGCAGCATTCGTTGCCTTCAATTCCCAAAAATCATTACGGCGGCAAACCTTTTACGAGTACGCCAGGGATTAATGCGTTGTTTAAACGGTATTGGACAGCTTACAGGTTTGCAATGTAGAATATACCGGAAAACCAGCCCCCCCAGCATGTCCGCGGAGGTCAGTTTGGTGCAGTCAGTTAAGGGCGGCTTGGCAGCCTCGACAGCTGTCTTCAGATGAACAAAACGGGGCAGCAACTGGTGGGACACTTTATTTGCATCTCACTGTCCCGAGCAGACAGAAACGCGTGACTTCCCAATCCAAAGGTTTCACGTCTAGCATTGGAAAAGAACCAGGGCGGGGGGGGGGGGAGATGAGGGCCATGACTCCCCAATTTCCGTGAAAGCATACCTTCACCTCATGGCGATGCACTGGAATGGCTTCGTGAAGTCAAATTGGGGTACGCCCCCTCCACCTCCTGGGACGTCCCTCCACCCCGGACGTCCGGGAAAGCGACGCGGCGGGACGGCTGCTCGGCCGACACGTACAGCGGGACACCGGGCCGTGCACAGAGCACGCGGTACAGAGTACAGCGAGTACAGAGACACCGGGCCGGCAGCGGGACAGACGCGTCTGACGGGCACAACCGCGCGCGAGGCTCACCGGTCGGCTAGCTTGAGGTCGATCACCAGTCCAGCCCCCTCCCGTCCCCCCCGTCTCCTCCCCCCCCCCTCCCCAGTTCGTGCGTGCTGTCCCCTGTGCCGTGAATCAGCGAATCAGGTGCGTGCCGTGCGTATTGCTGAACTCTAATGTCAGTGAGATGTCAATGCACGTCTCCGACGCGCAGGAAGGATGAAGAGTATCACATCACATTCATGGTATGTTTAGGTTGTTTGTAACCAGTCATAGTGTGAGATCCCAGCATGCTAAATATCCGGCCCGAGTATAATGATTGTGTAATTATACGTGACGTCAAATCCTTAAATCAGACGACACGAAAATTTGGGAAACTAAACAGAGATCGATTGGCGCTTGTAACGTCCGAGACTGTACGGACAATACTGTCCGTCATTAATCATGCAAAGCGGATGGTGTCAAGTGATAAAACCCCGGTAAGGTTAAGTTGGATTCTGCCATTTTGTCCCCACCACGGGTACCAAATGTGAATCCATGTTCCGCCGTGTTTAACAGTGCAAGAAGAGGTGGAGGCTTTCTTGTCCTCGGCCAACATTCAGCACATGTTTAGGCAGTTCATGCAGTTGCTTATCGCGCAAATAAGGCAACACAGAGCGCACCAAGCGCATTCAGACATGCACGCTGCAAACCACGAGTCACAACAAAACAATGCAACATTCGACTGAAAGCGGTCGTCAGGACATCAGCATGAAGCGGACTGAGTTGTAGAGCCACGTCGCGCCTCCACGACTTCTCATGCGCACGTCCGCAGTGCAAACGCCCCGTGCCTCCGACAGCCAGTCCGCACCGTCCGAGATCAACCCGATCGGTGAAAGCCGCAAGCATCCAGCCAAGAGACAGTGCAACACCTACTGAATTGTCCGCCAGATGTCAGGTGCGTCGCTAGAGGTTGTCAATCTCGCGTGGAATAGCCTCGAAAGAGTTGGACGGCTGCGACCGAAGTTAGGGTTAGGCGAAAAATCCTGATTGATAACTAGGGATTGGGTTTCAAAATGCACTATATGTGATAGTGATATATATATATATATATATATATATATATATATATATATATATATATATATATATATATAGTAGAACACTCGCATGAAGGGTTTAGTCTACGGTGAGAAATAACCCACGCATGAGTTAGGTTCAACATAGAGCTTCAAGTATCGACGGGAAAGCTAGTTTGTTCAAAGCCCATGGCGTAACTTGTGTGTACAGTACACCCGGAGGGGTACTTCTCTGGTTGTATGCTTTTCTGCGCTTCGCGCTTTATCTTCCTCTAGAGTCGACAAAACGAGAGAGGTCTGTTCGCCAATCATAATAATCGTACCTCTGGTTGTCCTGCCAGTACACCTAATCCCACTTCTGTTTGTTCCCAACATTTGGCCCATTCGGTGGCAACCCGGTTGTCAAAACATGACGTGGGATTCCCTAAGCATCAATGGGTTCCCACAATATGCGTGTGTACCGCTATCATTGCAAGTTTTTGTACACAGATTGCGAAGCATCATGAGCGTATGAAACATTCGACCATGCGACCTTGAAGACAGAACGGAAAATAAACAGCGTGCACCAGCATACCTCAATGGAATACCTAAAAGCTTACAAAATATGCACATTATAACCACTTCTTTCATAGCTATGAAAAGCGGACCTTTCGCCGATCATTATGATTTACGTCACAATCTGTACTGAGGACCAGCAACTAGAAGAGCAGTCTCAAGTGACTACACTACGAACTCCCATAGACCATCAGACCAACCAACAACGCTTTCCGTGCAACACCGGCGCATCAGCGGTCGCGGCGGCCACCGAAGCCGACCGGAGCGCCTCTGGCGGAGGCGAGCAGAAGCGAGCGGACGCACCTTGAACGCCGGGTTCTCGTAGCTAGGGCCGTTCTTGCGCGCCGGCGTGATGGGCGCCTTGGCGTGGCTGGACTTCCTGGCCAGCATGACGGCGGCGATCAGGCAGAGCAGGATGGCCACGGCCGCGATGACGGCTGCCGCCACCATGCCGCTGAAGTAGTTGGTGCCGGCCAGCTGGCCAGCCCCGGCCTCTGAGGGCCGGACACGCGTCAGGCGGCGGGCGGATCGAGCCGGGCGGCGTCACATCGTCGCCGGGGTCCTGCCGACGGCGCGGCAGCGCACCTATCGCCGCGCCCGCCGGTCGTGTGTGCGCGCACTGCTCTCATGAGTCAGATAACGCAGCGACATGGCGCTTTTGCTGGTGTTCCATTTGGTTTTTCTTACGAGAAACCGACGAGGCATTTCAGCGGTGTACGAAGCGCACATTCTGCGTGGTAGCCGACACGGCATGCTGACGTGAGTTTGAAATCCCGCCTCACCGCTTTCGCTGCCGCGGACCTGCTCCGCCTTGCCCAGCTCTCCGGCCTTGGTCACGAACTCCTGCACCTCGGAGACGCGCTTCTTGCCGTTCTTTAGGTATGCCTCCAGCCACACCTGGTACCTGAGTGGGGGGCGCACGCCACCCGTCAGGAGCGCATCATCGGTGTGAGGGAGGGAGGGGAGACACGGGACAAACGTCGCTGCCAAGATCTGTCATACAGTCCACGCGAACTCAGCGCAGTCCGAGGGACGTGTTTGAGGTGCGGGATGCGCAAGGCCAGAACTCAGCGAACTATGTCACGCCATTGTGCGGCATACAACGGACATGCTAAGTGATGTCACCAGCCGTGCTGGACAGCACCGCCAGTGGGATGTATTCTGAGCGCCTTGCTGGACAGCACCGCCGATGGACACTTACTTGCTGCTCGGCTTGAGGCCTTTGAGCAGGAGCGTCGGCTGGTCGGATGTCTTGGCCAGCTTGAAGGTGTGCTTCTCCTCACGTTCCTTCTCGTAGATGTAGACGATGCGGTAGACATTGACGTACTTATACTGCGGCTGCGGTATACCCGACCAGCGTACCCGCACCGAGTTGGCACTGGGCTCGTTTAGCAGCAGGGTCACGTTGAAGTCGTACAGGTCTGACGGCAGACAGCAGCCCAGATAACCAGCAGGTTCGGCCGCTCAGGTCACACCACTCCCAGACGGGGCTCTTGGGGACGCGTGTGGCTGCTTGCACGCAGAAACGGTAATGCACTTTTGCAGAAACCCCAATTCGTAGGTTTTAAATTGGCGGATGTGAAAACGGCACGCGAATGAGCACGAAGTGCGCGTTTTTTTTCTTGAATGGTGGACGCAGGGATTTACAACGCCAGAGTAGTGGGATTGGCATGGTTCTCTTTTTGTGTAGTGCTCCTGGCGCACCAAGCGTACTATTTGTATCTGTGCGTAATAAATACCAATGGATGGCTTGCGCGACGCTGGACGAGCGGGACACTAACACCGGTGGGGGTTGTTTATTGTTACCAAGCGAAGAATGTCAGAACTAGGTTGGTGGAGTCGCCAGACGAGATGCCAATAAATCTGATCAGTAAAGTGTAATTTGGGGGGCATCCTCCCAAGATAATTTACAAGACGAAGCCTACTAATGCATAAGTAGGTGTAAACTAGTTTAAAACCCACCTCGTTTGATAGTGGCATACTTATTATGCCAATGCCAGAAATGCTTTTGGACGGCATTGATGGATATGAAAGCTCTAATATCGAAGATGGGTATTGAGAAAATGAACAGGGCACTTAAGTTTTATCTTTGATAATTTTTCGTAAGCTGTCAGGTGTACTTGCGAGGAGCACTGTGCACATTAAGAAGACGGTAGGTATAAATAGCTTTACTCCTCACAGACTTGTAGCCAAAATATCAATGTATCTATCCATTCTCCTGGTTATTTTACAACGAATATGGCTGTTTCTAACTCTAACTCTGTTTCTTTCTAATCTTGATACAGATTTCATGAATTTGTCATTTCCTTTCACGACTATGCCTTCAGTCATTTCAATTAGTTTACTTTAAATATTTATATGATCCAGGATGTCTCGCCTTACGCGCCAACATAAGCCGCCGTCCAGCCAATAGCTGCGCTCCTATGGTTTGGACAGCTCTGGAATCCGTCAGTTAACCGAACCCGCTGTCTTTGCCTACAACGTGCCGTTTGCTTCACGTCTGCGTCTCCTCTGGCTGCTGAGAGCTGACATTGACCTTAAAAGAGACGCAAGGCGTACCGGCCCAAGGCGTGAGCACGAGGGCGAGTAAGCTCATCTGTAGACCACGAGGCACATGTCAACGATACGGTTATCCGTTTCCTCCTCTTCAGAATTCGGTGGTCTCGTGTCGCTGCGAGGCAGGTTCATTGAGAGCTGGACCCAATTTCAATCAATGCTCTAAGTTTTTTTGCAACTTGAAAATGCTATCATTCCTGTGTTAATCGAAATGGGGAGAGAATCTCAGTAACGTTGGTATACCTCTGGCAGACTGCCCGATCCAATAGTGCCCATGGAAGAACTGCGCTTATCGTTACTGAAAACAATGAATGTACCTGCAGTCAATGGTTGCAAGCACGTTGGCTTCCAGACAACGGAACGGCAGGGCCGGCCCGCCCGCCCACCTTGAGAATGATCTCACGGTTTAAGTAACTGTCGCTCGGCCTGTGGTCTCGCTCGTATTGAGGGCAATACGGCGCTAAACACGATTTGAGACCGCCAGCCGTTCAGTCACGTGCGTTAGGTCTCATGCCACTTGCGGTCACAACTTTGCTAGACTGGCAGTTTCTTTCATCACTAAACAGGCAACGAACCACTAAACAAGAAAACATGCTGGCGACACACGTCCTTTGCTAGGGCAGATCTTCACAAAAAACAAAACAGAAGCGCATACAGACAGCGCCGACAGGGCGTGTTCTGCTAGAGGCGGACTCACCGACGACGGGCGGCGTGCGGATCCGCAGGGGCCGCTCCGACACCATCTCGGTGTTCTGGTTCTGGAAGGGCATCAGCACGATGTCCACCTCGTAGCCCGTGTCCGGCTTCAGCTCGGTCAGCTCGTATGTGGTCAGCTCGCGGTGGATGAACGGCGTCATGGTCCACACCTGGGGAGCAGGAGGCTGCCGGTGACGCCGCCGCCAGGAGGGCCACAGCGGACGAACGCAGCGGCGCCGGCGTCAGCTGGCCACTGGTCACAGTCGGCTGGCTCCGACACAACCGTTGGTTGCGCGAACAGAGGCAGCTGCAGTGGAGCACAGAGAATGGCTACCAGCACCCCTGGCCGCTCGGCAAGGACAAAAGCCTCGTCGGCCCTGCTGGCTGACCGCCAGAGAGCGACAACATCAGCAGGCGCATAACCGCAATTTTACTTATTTTTTGGCGTATGGGAATGTTCTTTGCTTGTCCCCTATACATGTTGACCAGGAAAGTACTTAGGTATAGTTAACTATTTATATAAGTAGATGTGCCATAGATTTCAGTACTGAGTATTTTTACACGACCAAAAATGGTAAAAACGGTAACAAGCCGAGTTAATTACAGCTGTAAATATAGCTGATCAGAAAGTAAAACCCAGTTAAAGCCAAGTACCATGAAGATGTAAGCTATCTGAATAGATAACATTCCTTAAATGTTTGGAAGCCACAAATCCGTTCTTATTGCCGATGTGAGCATTGTCTGTAAGCCACCAAACACGAGCCACCTTGTCTGATGTACGCATTTTTTGATAAGATGTTGAGGGATCCGTCGCCTTTGCTGAGCTTTCTACCGATAGTCAGCTTTTGTATAATTAGGCGAAGTGTTGGCTTTAGTGCTCAGGGCGTAAAAACGATTTCTTCATTATTCAAATGGTGCACTTACATCCCAAGCCAGAGCCCAAAAAGCCCAAGTAAGGCACCTAAACTGGAGGGGGTTCGGGTCCGGGGACTCAGCACTCCCCGGCCGCTCCCCTTCGCGTCCCCGCCGCCGGCTGCTCACCTGTGCGTCGACGTCGACGTCGCGGTACCGCAGCTGGATGCCGTCGATGAAGCGGAGCTCGTCCTCGGTGAGGCGACGCCAGCCGATCCTGGCCCAGGTGGTGTTGATCTCCGAGGCCACCAGGCCCGCGTCCAGCGCCACCTTGGGCGGCAGCGTCGTGCCCGCTGCAGCAGACGCCGGTGTCACATGCCGTGCAGCCCCCTCATCTTCACACAGCAGGCTTGGAATTCATATGAGTACTGCGTGGCAAAATCTACCACATGTACGCAGTCCCAAAAACTGACTTCGCCTGCCAGGCATAGATGGCACACACACAGACACAACATAGACCTTGAACATACAATTTGTAGCGATTGCAGACCCCAGAGCCCTGCGCAGTGCCGCAGAAAGGAGGTGACCTGCTCCTCCCTGCCCTCGCGGCGGACGTCTGTGCAGATGCTGTGCGGTCTGCCCAGCATCGATCCGCTAGTGCCGGCAGAGGGCACGCGGACAGCACGCTGACAGCGGGACAGGGCGTCTCGCCGACCCTTCGCCAGCCTCGCCCGGCGCCTGTCCTCGCCCTCAGGTCAGGCGCCGCCGCGCTGACTGCGCGGCAGGGCGTCTCGCCGACCCCTCGCCAGCCCCGCTCGGCGCCCGTCCTTGCCCTCAGATCAGGCGCCGCCACCGGCGCGGCCAGCTCCACTCACGCGTGGCCATGGGCGGCGTGCTGAACTGGCGGACGCTGCTCTGCAGGCTGGAGATGGCCTGCTCGAACAGCACCCGCGCGCGCAGCAGGTAGTCGGTGCCGGCGCTCAGGTCCCCCAGCTTCCAGCTGTAGCTGAGCTCGTCCATCCGGCCGGAGGGCGACTCGAACACCCGACGGTCCCAGGACGATAGGTCATCGCTGTCTCTGCTGGGCCAGGGGAGGCAGGTCATCCCGCGAGCTCGCAGTCCGAGACGGAATTGCATGTTGCCGAGCGAGGTCAGACCGGGGTCCGACTTGTAGTGGAAGGCAGGCTTCGGAGCCAGCGCCGGCTCATGGCTATAGTCCGTCACCAAACTCTAGCGACGGCTCATATCCGGTTATCTATCAATAGCTGGCATACGAGCATCACATCAACTAACCCACAGCAAGCAGTCGTCCCAAGCATTTGCACACCAAAATCGCGAATGCTGGGAAGCAAAGACAGCGTCACCCACTCGGCGTTGGCGGTGTAGAGCACTTCCGTTTTTCCCGAGAGGCCGACCAGCTGGCGGGGTATGCTGAAGTTGACCTGCACAGACCGGGAGTCGACCACCTGCAGCTCCAGGTCCTCCAGCGGCAGGCCTGTGACCGCCGGCGCAGGGTGAGAGCGGAGCAGACGAGACGCGCTCACCGCACCGGTGCTGACAGCGAGGGCAAGACCTCACTCAAGAGACGTGAAATGCCATTGTGATGACAGTGAGCTGCGGCATGGACTGCCACGTCGGGCCAGGAAATACCAGCAGGTCGCAAGTCGCCACTCACCAGGCGGGAGTTCCGTAGAGTCAGGGCCGACGGGGATGTACGGCGTGGATGACTCTGCAAAGGTCAGTGGTTCAGACGGTGGCTCAGTGGTCAGTGGCTCAGACACTGTGAGTCAGCACACGCCGCATGGAGCGCGGTACAGTGTTGATCGGCGATCGATTGGGCGAGCGTCGTACTTCAATCTCCTACTGTGAACCAAAGCACTCGACAATCGGCAAATAAAATCTCAGCATTTGGTGGATGTGTTGCCAGAACTGAATGCACATATCAATCCCAGGCATCTGTCTTAGAGCTTGTGCAAACATTATTAACCCGCCGAGGTACTCGGTACGTTTCGACCTTTCAACGAAGAAAGTAGAAAAAATTCGCCACAAGCTCTGCTGTCTTGCGGTGCTAAGTAAATGTGTTTTAAACAGGAATAGTGGCGGTAGACGTCTGCCTACTATCGTGAGTCCCATGCGTAAAATATTGGTATGTATGCAGCTCTTTCAAAACTTCCCTCTTATTTTCTTTATCCAAAGGACAACACTTAACGAATTCCATAGCAAATGCAATATCCGACGTCCAAGCAGTTCGTCCAGACGTTCCCACCCGCATAAAAATACACAAATGCATCAAACACTGGGCACAAACAGCTTAACGGGTCGATGTGATCGTATTTAAGATCCATCTGGATCATAGCCCGTAGCAAGAGGACTGACTGAGCTAATAAGCAGCTATGGTAAGCTGCCAGCTACAAGGCGGCCCTCCTTCCACCTTCCCATTAACAACGCCACATGAAAAGCCGGTCCCACGCAGTGGCGTAGCCAAGGGGATGGGATTTGGGAGTCAAGCACCGTCTCCTTGGGATTGGCGGCCACATGGGACTGGAAGCTCCTGCTCTTTAAGACAGTGCAAGACACGCGTAGGCCTTCACACATAACAAGAACCCTCGAGCTATCATAATAGGATCCCGAACATAAAAGGCCCCTCAAATCTGAAGCCTTGAGAAGCAAAGAGGCCCCTGCCTGGAAAGGCCCTAATCACCCGATTTCCTGGGCGAAATCCTGGCCACGCCACTGGTCCCACGCACCGTCCACCTTGCATCTGCGTATGTTTTTCATAAGCAAACATACCTTGCTGTACATGTTTCCTTGCATACACGGATTTTTTTCTGGGCGTAAACTTCCGTAGTACCCTGTGATATGATGCCCTCCATTCTTCCCATCCTTCGATATCAGTGGCCGTTGTCTCCAAGTGTGCATCATATGTACACCCCACCACCATAACTACCATATTGGTGAAGCACTGCCAGCGCCAGCGCAAACTCATCCGCCATAAGATGTCGTGCAGGGCGTTAGTGCGCATGCGCGTCGCCGAGGTCGTTTCGTGCGGGCCCACTGACCTGCCATCGGGTCTGGGGGTGGGGAGGGTGCAGAGGAGGTCGGGAACTGCGACAGCCAGGCATCCCCCGCCTCCTGCGGCGCGGCGGTCACCGCCGGACCGTCCGGCTCGTCCAGCGCCGGACCGTCCGGACCGTCCGGCGCGCGCGCCGTGCCATCTGCCATGAGGAGCACCCGCCGGCCGTCGGAGAGCACCTGGAGGCGAGGCGGCGGACGGTCCCGGCTGGTGTCAGGCGCCGCCTCTCCCGCTCCGGTGCCGCTCAGAAGCCCCTGCTGGTGGCCGCTGAGCTGTGCCTCCTCCAGGCTCAGCTGGCCGTCAGCCGCTGTCGGCGGCGCGGTGGAAGTCGGCGGCAGAGGATGACGCAAGCCGTCGCTGTCTGCGTGTCTTGTGCCATCCAAGGAGAAAGTGTCGGGATCATCCGCACCTGACTTGCCTATCTCAAAAGACAGGTCGTCTTCAAAAAGGCCTTCTCTGGCTTCCGAGCTTGTCTCCAATGGTGCAACGGTGAACGTCTCATATCCGAGGATCGGTTGGTCTTCATCCGTGTTACCATGTCTGGCCTCTGGGGACTGATCGCTGGCAGCTGTGTCGACCCCCGCCGGTGCTCCGAGCCCAGGCGGCTCGGTCGAGTCGCGAGCGTGCGGCGGCGTCTCCGCGACACCCCAGTCCAGCTCATCAGCCGGCTGCTGGCCGGTCGTCGCCCCGTCGGGTCCCACGGCGCCGATGTGCTCGTCGAGAGGCCACGATTCATCGGCATGGTAGGGAAACAGGGTGGTGTCGGGGCCCGCGTGCGTCTCCAGGTCAAGGACAGTCACGTTAGGTCGCGCATGCGCATTAGCTCCGTCTGAAAGGAACGACAGGGCGGTGAAGGTGAGACGTTAGCACTGCTCGCATGCGAGACCGATCGCTTCGCCACGCCGCCGGTGGATGAGCATCATCTGCGCTGGCAGCACGCAAAGCCACTCGGCAACGGCACGTGCACTGTTGAACCACGCAAGGTACAACGCAGTGGGCCCTTGGGGCTAATCAGGCATTAACGAATGTGCGGGCATGCAGTGACCAGAACTGCATTAGCAATGAGACTCGGTCAATATCAAACGGTCGGCAGCGAAGCCAGTGATGCAAAGGGTGCATGGCGGCACTCCCGTGCTCAAGGAAAGAAAACGACGACAGAGTCGGTCGAAAGCGCAACGAAACGTCTCGACCCGTCCGGCATGCTCTCCATCCCACGTGCCATCACGACCGCGGCCAGCGGTGCGTCGACCGGAGCCTTACCTGGGTCGGCGCACTGCCAGAACTGGCAGCAGCCGTTGGGGCCGGGTAACAGGAGCGCCTGCTCCGGCGGGCAGGGCAGCGAGGCCGGCGGCTGCTCCGGCACCGGCGGACAGTCCGGCTGGCAGGTGACGTTGCCGAACTCGCAGAAGCAGCGCCGCTCGCAGCCGGTCAGGCTCTGCGGGATCTCGTGCTGGTTGCGGAACGTCTGCCCCTCAAACTGGCAGCTGCCGTCGTCCTTGCAGGTGACCTCGGGACAGCAGTTGGGCGGCGTCGGCTCCTCGGACAGCTTCATGTCCCACTCGAGGCAGTCGGGGTTGATCAGAGACAGGCCGTAGCGATGCGGGCAGCGGATGCGGGCGCACATGACGCCCGTCTCCGCACACATGCAGAACTGACGACAGCCGTCGTGGAACTCGTCGCCCGGCTGGTACTCGACGCCTTTGTGCACGCAGGCGCCGTCGACCAGGGGCGGCCCGGTGGGGAAGCCGTCAGAGGGCGGCGCCTCGGTCACGCCCACCGTCTCCTCGAGACCGTCTGAAACACGGACGGCGCCGGTCAGCCGCCGCGGCCGCTGAGGCAGCGCCGCTGCCCCCGCACGCTGTAGCGGACGCTCCGCTGGCACGCAGCAGTGGCTGGACATACAGAGCAGAGCGTAACGCCCGCACCATGCGGTGCCAGCAGTACAGGAGTTCACGTGAGTGCGATGCAAACCAGCAACGGACGGTCACAAAATAGATCGGTACTCGTCAGCTAGGAGGCAACGTGCCGTCGCCGTTCAGGAAACGCATGTCTGGACATGTTATAAATCATCAACATTCAAAGTTGTGCCTTTAAAACCAAGTAGCTCCTATTGAGACCATATGCAAACAAAAGAGAACACAAACAAAACATGTTAGCTTGCCAAAGGTTAAAAATCAAGCATTAAAGACCGAAGGAACTCTTAGTAATGACAGCGGCGCAACAAACGTTAGAGGAACGGAAATGTCGATTAAACCGATTAGAGAACGAAGAACGTTTCAACTTCACTTCACATCATCTATGCGAAAGGGACGAAACCTGGACCTAACATCTCTATGTACACCACTGGTCGTATGCATGTACACTTGTGCCATGTTCAGCGGGCCAGAACCGCCCTGCACCTCCCATGTCAGTGTACACCAGTCAGCTGTTTTGTCTGTCACCCCCTATGACTGCCTTCCGCTATGCCGCCTGTGTGTATCCGGCCGGCTGCCAACAGCTAATATGCCCAGACCAATGTCAATGGACCAAATTGGGGACCAATGTCAGTGGTCATTGCTATCCCTATGGGCTACATCCGAAACCGTGGCCGCACGCACAGTTCTAAGGAATGCGCGGTCTTTACAGGAGATACTCCCAGGGATTTCGAACGAGAGGACATAGCAAACCTTGGATTGAATAAGGATTGCGGACGAAGTTACACCACTTTAGGAAGTGATTGGGTAAGTTATTTAGCGTCGGGTTCAGTGGGGACATCACGGCAGCAGAGTCCGTGTTAGCAGAAGCGCCACTGAGCGTTATGCCCGTCGCAAGTTCGCTGCGGCGAGCTCCGCCAGCGCGTGCTGTTACAGACTGTCACCGCGTCAGCCAGCTCGTTAGTCCAGCCCGCTCTGCCGGCTCCTCCACCCGGCGGGGGTTAGCTCCCGGCGCCGCCGCCGCCGCTCCAGTGTTAGCTCCAGCCGCCGGCAGGGCTGGGCCGTTAGCTCGGCGGGGCTCGGCCGCCCGTTACCTTGGCGGCCGAGCGTCGGAGAGACGGTGACGCCCCCCTCCAGCGGCCGCACGTCGGCCGCCACGGGCACCGAGGCGTTCACCGTCATGACGCGCAGCAGCGTCGGCACCTTCTCGGCGGCCACAATGCCGACGAACGGCTGCAGTCCGCCGGGCCGCGGCGCCTCGGTCGGCGCCTCCGAGCTGGTGGCCGCCGGCGCGGCCGACGGCACGCCCGTGATCAGGCCCGTGATGCGACGCGTGGTGGGTATCGTGCGCGCAGTACCGGTCGTGCTGCTGGTCGTGCTGGGTGCCGTGTTGGACGCCGTGGTGGTAGACTGTGCAGCCAGCTCTTCGGCCGCTGACGCTCCTGGCGACTCAGTGGTAACGCCGGCCTCCAGTGCCTCTGGATCGGTGACAGCTGTGCTAGCGGTGTCGCCTGGTGTCCGTGCGGTAGATGTCGCTACTAGCGCGCTCCCGTCCTCGCCTCCTGCCGACTCAGACCCTTCATCGACGAAGGCCTGGTCGGGAATCGCGGCTATGACCACAACAGTCGGTGCAACAGTGGAGGTGTACTCGTAATCTGCAGTTGACGGGGCCTGAACGGTCACATCTTCCTGCATCTGGGATTCGGCAACGACGGCCGATTTACGGGTCTCCACCAGCTCGGCAGACACCCTGCCAACAGCAGCCTTGGCAGCCTCGTCTGGGACGGAGGTCGGCGCCACGGTAGACTCTTCCAGTGGCGACGATGGTGGACTCCATTGTGGCCAAGGTGGTCGGGGCGTCCTCGGAGGACACTGTCGGGACGGGAGGGCCCGTGGTCGTGTCGCCTTCGGCGGTGGTTGTGACCGGTGGCTCCGTGGTGACATCGCCTCCGGAGCTGGCGTCCTGGACGTCTGACATCGCCGTGGTAAGGTCACCCGCGGACGTGGCAGGCAGCTCCGTGGTGACACCGGCCTCAGAGCCGCCAGGCAGCTCCTCGACACCCGTGCTCTCCGTCATGGCAGACCAGATGGCGTCATTAAGCGCCTGTAGCTCTTCAGAGTCCAGCAGCTCACCCGGCCCAGTGAAGTTGATCTCGATGACGTTCGGGTCCTCGGTGGTGGTGGTGCCGGCGCCCGGCGGCGGGCTCGGCTCCTCGGTACTGGTGGCCGGCTCGGCGGTGGCGGCCTCTGTGTCCGGCGCGCTGCCGGCCGCCGCTGTGGGCGGTCGGGACGGAACCTGGGAGACCAGCGTGCTGAGGAAGGTGGACGTCTCTGGAGGTTGTGTGGTGCCCTCGCCCGCGGCGGCGGAGAGCGTGCTGGCGAAGGTAGACGTCTCCGGAGGTTGTGTGGTGTCCTCGCCCGCGGCGGCTGGAGGCAGGCCAGCGGTGGGCCAGGTTGGGCAGCGCTGCACCCAGCAGCAGGGGTCCTTCTCGTCGCGCACCATGATGCAGTTCGGTCCGTCGTTGGATGACATGCTGGGTGGCCGACAGCGCGGCAGGCAGGCCGCCTGGCCGGCGCCGAAACACACGCACCGCTCCAGGCAGCCCTTGAAGAACACCGCGCCCACTGCGTGCGTATAGTTCTCGTGGACGCAGCCGTCGCCCGCAGGCGGCACTGCAACACGAAACAGGCATGCAGAGACGAACACGCGCAGATGCGGCGCATTCGTACACCGCCCGCGGCAGCCGAGTCGCCGCTCACGGGCGCGCAGACAGGCGACCTCGCTCACCTGGGCATGCCTCAGGGTGGACGAGCCAGGCCGCAGCAGAACACATGCTGCCGATTCTACGAGTTGACATGCAGGCAGAATGACTGATGTTAGGATTAGGAATGGCTGTCGGGGGCGCCGTCACCGACTGACAGCGCGCTCGCGTTTGCACCGAGGTGGAGAGCGAGAGAGAGAAAATCTGAAGTTACCGGCAGAGGACATTGCGACCTCTGGCAGAACTAGGTCAAGTCAGTTTTCAGATACTACACGCGACATTGCATGCGGAGGACAACGTGCGACAGAACTGTAGTGCCGGTGCCGATAGTCCAAAACATTAGTGCCAAGAACGTGAAAAGTGAAGGCACCAAGCCACTGAAAAAGAGCTGGTGAAAGTGGCTGGTGGAAGAGCTTCGGAAGAGCGAGTATGTTTTCAGGTGTTGTGCCGCACACAACGAATGCCCGACATGCTTCCAGGCTGTCCTGGGTCCATGGAACACAAGGCTTTTAAATCACGACAGGTTTAGAAAATGTCAACACCAGCTCAGCAAGCGTCAGAAACCAGGCCGAATCAGGCCGCGCGCCTACGTTGTTACCCATGACATTCACATGACCTTCACTAGGATTACGTCCCGGTGATGTGAGATGCAGGTGCCGCGGTACCGACGGCAGGCATACATTGAGTGTCAATTGCACCGAGACAGCGTCTTGGCTAGCACCGTGACTGCCGGCACCAGGAACTGCTGAACTGCGTGAACCGCACTAAAAACAGCACCCTTTACGTTGCAAGATCCGGACTATTCCGGCAAACACTAACCAGTTCAGGGATACGAGTTTGAGGAAGGGGTAAGGAGCGGGGTAACCAGCGAAGCCATCACGCATTGATACGGCACCGAGCCGTACCCCACCCGAAAGCCCGAAGTCGGCCTGTGCGGAGGCTCAGACGGGCTCTCGGCCACGGGGGCGATGAAGCCAGCTCAAGACTGACGGCTGCAGCCTCGAGATGCGAGGAGGCTCCGCCAGAACGCGGACTTCGGCGTTGGATATGTGTCATGAGGTGAACGGTTCCAGTGACGGTCTCAGCCTTTCCAGCGGCTATCAACCGGTACCCGAGCTATTCTGCTGTGACTATTGTGTACTTTGCAAAGAATTTACGGGCGGGCGCATACCGCACGGACGCCTACCGCACCTATCAAACCAAGTGATCATTGTTAACGCGGCCACGCGCCTGGACCTGCGGCGCCGCTGAAGGTCGGCTGAGGCGCCGGGCGTCGCGTCAGCACGCCTGTGGCCACAATCGCCGGACGAGACGTGCGGTGAGTCACAGTCGCCGTGCCGTTAATCCTGTGCCGTTAATGTTGTGGGGCTCCAGCGGCCACATGCCGGACGGGGGCGATGCGAGTGGAGCACTCGCCATCACCGGCCAGCGCCATTAGCCGAGAACAGGGTGCCGTTAGGGGTCAGGTTAGCCGCCAGGTGGGGCTGGCGGCGACTTTACCGCAGGAGGCTTCGTCACTCTCGTCGTCACAGTCGTACAGGAAGTCGCAGCGCTGCGCGAGCGGTATGCATGACCCGTCGCGACAGCGGAAGCCGGGATCATAGGCGCCGCACCGGCCTGACAGGCGGGAAAGTGCTGACGGACACCCACAGACAGCGCAGAAGGAGCCGCCCACGCACGACAGCTGACGGACGCCGAGAAACAGCGCAGAAGGAGCCACCCACAGCTCACACATGACAGCTGACGGACACCGACAGATCGCGCAGAAGGAGCCGTTCACAGCTCACACACGACAGCTAACGGACACCGACAGACCGCGCAGAGGGAGCCGCTCACACACGACAACTGACGGACACCGACAGACCGCTCAGAATTAGCCGCCCACAGCTCACACATGACAGCTGACGGACACTGACAGACCGCGCAGAAGGAGCTGCCCACAGCTCACACATGACAGCTGACGGACAGCGACAGACCGCGCAGAGGGAGCCGCTCACAGCTCACATATGATAGCTGATGAACAGCGACAGACCGCGCAGAGGGAGCCGCTCACACAAGACAACTGACGGACACCGACAGACCGCGCAGAAGGAGCCACTCACAGCTCACACACGACAGCTAACGGACACCGACAGACCGCGCAGAAGGAGCCGCTCACAGCTCACACACGACAGCTAACGGACACCGACAGACCACTCAGAAAGAACCCCCCACACACGGCAGCTGACGGGCAGGCGGTACGAGCGAGGGCAGGAGCCGATGTGACGTGGAAGCCCGCAGGGATCTCATGGGATAGCTCAGTAAGATGTCGCGTTACTCAACCTGGCTATGTGCGAACCATGAAAAATGGCATCGTTGAAGAAAAGACAAAGCGAGGATATAAAAGCTGGTATTAGTACAAATACAAGGATAGCAGCTGAGCTGAGATATTAAACAAGTTGGCGAAAGTTGGGTTTTAATTTCAACACGACCTAGCCGGGGATAATCCTGAAAACTGGAAAAACCGTAGTTGTGGTCATAAAGGCAGAGTTTTTTTCATAACAACACATGAAGGAAAAAACAAGCACAAACCGGGTTGGTGGAGTGAGATGGTCATTCCACTGCACACGGTTTCCTAATTGACCCATCCACAGGCTCTGACTGTGTGCGCGGCATTTTCCGCCAGGGGGCGGTGGTGCCAGCGGTGTGCCGGAGCGCCTACCTTCTGTGGTGGTGGCCGGCGGCTCGGTGGCGTCCGCAGGGACCACGTCGGCGCCGCGCACCAGCGGGCTCGTCTCGCCGGCGTACGTGACGCGCACGTCAGCGGCGCGCGGCCGCTGTAGCCCCTCCACGGTCATCACGAGCGTGTCGAGCGTCTCCACCGAGACGGCGTCCACCTCGATGCTGCGAGCTTGCCACGGGCCGCCGTCGTAGCGCCACTCCACCAGCAGCGGCTGCGTCTGCGCCGACAGGAAGCTGTCCAGCACGCTGTCGGTGATCAGCAGCTTCAGCTGGGTGCTGGTCGCGTCCACAGGCACCAGCTCAGCCACGCGCAGCGCCGGCGGGCCGACCTCCAGCCGGCCGGCGCCCAGTCGGCTCGAAACAGTCACCACCGCCGGCTCCGTGGTCGTCTCCGGCGCCGTCTCAGTGGTGGTCTCAGGCGCCGTCTCAGTGGTGGTCTCGGGCGCCGTCTCAGTGGTAGTCTCGGGAGCAGTCTCGGTGGTGGTCTCGGGCGCTGGCTCCGTGGCGGTGGTGCACACGGTGATGTTGCAGCACGAGTCGGCCGGGTCGGGTCGGCTCGTGCACGTGGCACCCTCTGGCGGCGTCTGTAACGCGCACCTGTCGAGACCGAGCGGTTTGGTGAGTGAGGCGGCAGGGACCCCAACACTGTCTATGGCTCTCAGCACTGACACCGCTGCAGCACGCAACAGCCGCAACATGTGGCAAAGCAAATGCATCCGACGGCGTAATAGCCCCCAAAACGTTCATGGAAATCGCTGGCCAGCATCACTGGAAACACGATATATGCGACGACAGGAATACTGTTACTATTTGAGGCGGCTTCGTTATCTGATCGCCAGTCTGCCGACAGCCGTTCCTCCTAGCTGCCGTCGCCTGCGGCCTCGCCGCCGGCAGTACCTGGGCACGCAGGCCACCTCGCCGGCGCCGAGACAGCGACACCGGCCCTCACAGCCTTGCTCGAAGGTGCTGTTGACGGCGTACTCGCGACCCTCGAACACGCAGCCGGCCGGCTCCGGTGAGCTCTCTCCTGCCGGGCAGAGGTGCGCCAGTCAGCACACGGCGAAGAGCCGGTCCCCAGGCAGAGCATCACTGGCGAGAGCTCATCAGCTGGAGTTCGGAGTGCTTCTTTGATTAGACTGCCAGTCTCACGGGCCTGGTCACGGACAGCTGAATGGACTTAACGGGTGGAGCCACATGCGGCGAATGCCAGTGGGTGGAAGGTTGTTAGTTACATCGGTGCTGCACTCTGCTTAAGGCTATGCTTTCGGTGTTACTTCAATGCACGCATTGCTGAAACTTTTTCCCTGCCGTTTTATTGGTGGCACGGCTCTGTCCGTTGCAACGAGGCTCCGTTCGTTGCGAAGCCCGTCAAAGGGCCATCGGGTGCGAGAGTGCTGCTAGTGACACTGGGACGGCAGCAGTGTACAGTGTACGCGTGTGATTTGTTGGTGGACGCAGGTGAAGGGTGCGGCGGAGATATAGTGCGGTATCAGCGTTCTTGAACCGGCTTATGAATCATGCGTATTATACCGCTATCAGTGTTCTTGACCTGGCTTATAAATTTACGGGAAAAAGCTCAGCGCTCGATGTTCATGCACTCTGCACGAGTTGGAAAGGTCACTGGCACCCTGCGGTCAGCTAGGGCCTGAGCCGACTGGATCAGCTGGCCTCCATGGGCTCCGACACCAGCTTTTAAGAGATAAGACGTCTGAAAACGGCGCGGTGGTCGTATGAGCAGATATCTGAAGCATAACATAAATCACCGGCCTGTCGGATTTGAAAGGTGAAGATGCTGTTAAAAGGCAAGGAAAGGGGCACCATAGCCGCGAGTAGACATCATCTCTCCCATAGCGACGCGGGAAGCAGAACAGCGCCTCCCCTCCTGAGCTGTCCTCCCCGCCCCAGCACGAGCAGCAGCCCCACCCACCGTCCGGTCGCTCGCAGAGCATGGTCTGGCAGCAGGGGTCGTCAGGGTCCGGCACCAGGCGGCACCCAGCGTCGGGCGCAGTGTCGTCACTGGCGCGCCGGGAGCAGCGTGCCTGCAACACCGGCAACCGTCAGTCGTGCCACTCCGGACCGGCGTCCGGGCGCCACCAACGCGCCGGGCAGCGGCGGCGCGCACCGCGCTGGGGGCAGCTGGCCGGGGCGGGGCTGAGGGAGCAGCAGGTGCCGCTGGTCGGAGCCCGCTTCCTCAGCGGGCTCCGGCGCCGTCCATGAGGCGAACCGGCCCCGCCAGGCGCGTGACATTCCGCCGGGACATAGTGTGGTGCCGCCGGCGACGTGACCTCAGTCAGCGAGCACGCCGACGGCCGCTCCTCCGCCGAGTCATTCACCTTGACTCTGTGACTCGTTGACTATGTGACTCAGCCCCGCTGCGGATCGTGGGAGCCGTAAAATCGGCACCGGTCACGCTATAGTCCTGCTTGATATGCAAAAGACCGACTCTACTGCAGCTGCAGTCAAAACTGATGATGGGTAGATGTTCCAGTAAACGATGCATGTTCCCAGATGCTGCATGAGTCTTTCGTTAAAGATGTTTCCAAATGGCATCAGGCTGTACGAACTGGCGAACTGAATCCCAAAGACCACCATTGTCAAGAGATAAGAGTATTGCTTCTAGTCAGAGTCAACAGCCGTCTCAGTCAACGGAAGCGACAGCATCGAGGCGGTAGCAGCGCCTTCTCAGACATGCACAACATCGCAATCCTGCTCGACTCCCTTACACGCCGTTTCATCTCAAATCATCGCGACTGGGGCATGCTCTGCGGCCATGAGCAGGCTCCCCCGGTCACCCCAGGGGAATACCTGGCCGAGCACTCTCACAAACCCCTAAGGAAGTGTCCCTGTGTGGAGAGGGGCTAGCAAAAAGCGCGCTGCTGCGTCTGGACGCCTACAGTGCGCGTCATGAGCGTCAGCCGTGGCGGACTGGCCTCCTCACCTGGCACTCAATCTTCTCCTCGCTGTTGCACATGCACTTGAACTCGCAGCCGTCGAAGAACTCGTCTCCTGGCTGGTAGGTGGCGTTGCCGTACGTGCAGCCTGTCACGTTGGCCAGTACACGGGGTGACGTTACTCCTGTAACGACAGATGGCCACTTCAGCAGCGAACAGGTGACGTCACTCCCGTAACGGCAGCGAACGGGTAACGTCACTCATGAAACGGCAGACGGCCACGTCAGTAGGGAACGAGCTGATATCCCCCTGAAACAGCTGACGGCCACATCAGTAGCGAACGGGGTGACGTCACTCCTGAAACGGCAGACGGCCACGTCAGAAGGGAACGGGGTGACATCCCCCTGAAACAGCTGACGGCCACGTCGGCAGCGAGGCAGCCGCTCTGGCCGTAGTCTCCTGACAGACGATGCGTCGGACTCTCACCAGGTTTGCAGGCCTTGTCACCGTCGACAGACGTCTCGTCGAAGCCCGGCGGACAGACGCACATGGCTTGGGTCCTGGCCTCGGCATTCTCACCCTCCTTCTTTACTCGCTCACAGACGTAATTCTCGTCGCACATGATGGCGCTGCATGGGTCGCTGCCCTCCTCCTCTGAAACACGGCCAGGCCGCTAGGTCATCATGGTGCCCAGCACGTCACCGAGACATCACGTCTTCCAGCAGAACACTGGGTCACCATACTCCCTCCAGGTTACTGCGCTGTCACATCCGGAGTTCGACCGCAGCATCGTCCGTCTTATTAGTATGGAGTATCATTCGTGTGCTTGTGACTTATATTACACTCTTGGGAAAAGGAAATTAACATCCGCCCCGTCGTCAGCTGCCTAAGGCCCCGAACTTGTTCAAAGGGACGGTGCAAGGCAAAGTCACGCCGTCAGCAGGTGACGCAGTGACGCCGAAGCGTTCCAGGAAGCCACGTTTGACGGCTGTAAAGCCTGCGCCCGCAATAGCGACGCCGCCCGTTCACCTTGCAGAGTGCAGTGTGGTCTACAAGCACGACGTGTGGTCAACGTCAAGCTGTGAACATGCAGATCGAAGTGATAGGACAACGTGGAGCCTTCGGCTAAAGCTCGGACGGAATTCAACACCGTCTGCTTTCAGGGACGCTGCTCACTGAACTGGGTGAACGTCGCGACACTAGCCCAGTGTCCTTCCTACGGCCATGTGCAGTTTAGGCCGGCAGATAGGGGAGGAAAATGATTCCGTAGAGCAGTAACGTTGACAGCATCACCACCGTCAGATTGTAATGCTGATGCTGATGCTGATGCCGACGGCTGCGATTGTGATGCATCAACCACAATCATCATCAGAGTCTTTCACCTAGTTCATAGAGGCATTAGCTAGCAGAGGCTCAGAAAACGAACAGATTGCTTCGTTTTTATCGGCTATGAAACCGTGGTAATATCGCCTCACTTTAAATCACGTGACCAACACCAGCAAACTGATACATAGCAGTATGATTCAAGCATGTGGTATATTCATTATAATAGGTGTCCGACCATTTACCCCATAACATTTGCGAATGACTATGCTTGACGTCGTGTACCATTGCTCTCTTTTCAAGGAATTGCAAAGGGATCTATATGCGTACTTAACGATAATGGTTTCATTCCATTCGAGACTCGAAATATCAATATAATACGAATGAAGAGCATAACCATCGTCAGATATGACGCAGTTTCTCTGTTTAGTTATAAGGTAGGTCCGCAATTTTTGTACATGAAAGCGAAGGAAAATAATCATACGAGCTGATGTTCCATTTATGATATACAGCCCTGTTTTATGCTACTGAACACACACGATCTAATTGGCAGCAACCACATCTCGTGCCGTAACTCGGGGGCTTAACAGCTTTTTATTTCGCCTGCAGACAATGAATGGATGTCATGACGTGCTGCTTACCTGAGGCGGTCGTGTGCATTGATACCCGCCAGTTCACAATTATCACTACCCTTGGTCTGTTAGTATCATTTAAATTCTTTTAATTCTGAATACATATTTTACCCAAGTTCTAGTTCAGATTTTGTTCAACTTTGAATCAAGATGCTACCGAATTTTGAATTCAGATCCTTCTTAGTTTTGAATTAAGGTCTAACTGAATTTTGGCTTAAGACTTCATTCAAGTTTGAACTCAAATTTAAATGAATTTTTAATTTAAAACTTGATGTGCCATCCCCAGTAGCGCCACCTGCGCCGCTCACAGCAGCACCCATGCCGTCCCCGGCAGCTGTCGTACCGTCCTCGGTCTCGTCGGTGGGCGGCGCGCTGGCGCTGGCGCAGGCGGCGATCACGCAGCACTCGTCCATGCGCTTCTCGAAGCAGAGCGGGTCGTCGCTGAAGGCGCCGTGTCGGAAGAGCGGCCGCTGGCAGCGCGGTACGCAGCGCGCGCGGCCACGCAGCTCGCAGAAGCACGTCTGCTCGCAGCCGTGGTAGAACCGGCCGCCCACCGGGTATGTGTCGTTGCCGTCCACGCAGCCGTCTGGGGATCGGTCACGAGCAACGGTCAGGCCCTAGGTCACACGCCAAGGTGGGGTGTTCTACAGGATCAGAGCTACACCTTTCTGGATGCGGTGTGCTCCTCGCACATTTCGTCCACGGTCATCACATCACCAGCTAAGTGGAACAAAATTAGACTGCTTCTGTAGCTGCTTGGTCAGACACCCGAGGCCAGTGACATGGCTCATGCCAAACACAGCACTCCGACATGAACAGTTAGAGACCAGGACGGCGACTTGGTCCGCCCTGGTGCGACGAACGCGCCCGCCGCGGCCACCGGCCACCGACCGCCGGCTCCTCACCGTCCGTGGTGAAGCGGATCGTCTCGGAAGCGTCACCCAGCGTGCCCAGCTCCTGGCTGTCGTAGATGGAGACGCGCGCCTCGTACTCGGTGTCGGGCCGCAGCTGGTCGATGCGCAGCAGCGGCACGCTCTGTCCCGGCTGCGGCGCCAGCTCCTGACGGCGCCACTCCTCGGCGCCCAGCTGGCGGTACTGCGCCACGTAGCCATGCACGTAGTCGGCCGGCTTGAAGTCGTCCCAGGCCAGCGTCACAGAGTTGTACGACTTGGTCGTGACGATCAGAGTCGGCTTGGGCTGCTCGCCGGCCGTCAGAGCGCCTGGCGGCGCGACCGCAGACTCGCCGCTGTCGCTAGCGCCGACTGTGGTGCTAGGGATCGCCGTGGTGGTGGGGCTGTCTGTGGTGCTGGGGCTGGCTGTGGTGCTGGGGCTGTCTGTGGTGCTGGGGCTGGCTGTGGTGGTGGGTATCGCTGTGGTGCTGGGGCCGGCTGTGGTGTTGGGGCTGGCCGTGGTGCTGGAGCTGGGAGTGGTGCTGGCGTCGGTTGTCGTGGTGGGGCTGGCTGTGGTAATGGGGCTGGCTGCCGTGCTGGTGGATGGTGATGTTGCAGTCCTCTCCGTTGGGCTGATGGAGTCCAGCAAGTCCTCGACGATTTGCCCTTGAAAAGAAACGGCAGTCGGTACATGAGCTGTCCACTTACAGACACGCACCAAATTACGGAGCATGAGCCCAAAAATGTGCCCAGTCGGATGTCAGTCAGAATGGAAATTTACATTTACCTGCATAAAACCTTCGCGTGTCTAGACTTAACCAGCGTGCATACGTCCATCAACAGAATCGCACAACGAGCTAACTGGAGGCCATAATGTCATACCAGTGAACATGCTAGGCGTCAGTGAAGTCATACAGCACATTGCATTTCAGATATTGGTCAACAGTTATTCTCGAATCTGAGGATAAACCCTGATGGAAGATAATTCTAACACTGAAAAGTTATCTTTTGGCGGTTCACCCTCCACCCGAGCCAGACCGTCCCCGACAACGGCGGCTCTGCCAGCTCGTGCAGCCGAGCGCGGTCCGGCCACCACCGCGGCGCCGCTGGCTCGCTATCACCGACCTCCGGTGCTGCTGACGGCGCACACCAGCTGGACGCAGCACTCGGGGTCGTCGATGTCGGGCCGCTCCGAGCAGGCCTTGTCGGTGACCGTGCCGCGCGTGAACGAGCACCGGGGCCGGCACGAGGGCTGGTTCGGACCGCCACACACGCACGTCGACTGGCAGCCCATGTGGTACGTCTCGCCGATGGCGAACGAGCTCGTGTTGGTCACGCACCCGGCTGTAGGACACCGGGTCAGGGTCTCAGGGGGGCCGGGTATGGGGCCGCAGGGTACACGTCGCCACTGACGAGGACACGCCAGGGTGGCCGGGCTGGGGCAGCAGTGGACACCTCACCACTGACGAGGACACGCTGGGGTGGCCGGGGTGGATCCACATGGGGACGACCCGCCACTGACGGTGACGCCGTTTGCTGCTGCCAGTGAACATGCGCGGCAATGCATGCTATCTCGCATCAAAGAAACATCGCAAGAGCAGGTGCACCTGAACTGTCAGCCACCATCTTTTCTGGCATATTCTGTTAATGACAAAGTGCGCTAGGTTAGGGCATTTTGCCAGCGTCATTCGTGAGCCATGTAGCTGAGTCGGGAGCCATTGGCAGCAGAACACTCACGTCTCGTGTCGACGCTCAGCGTCTTCTCGCCATCAGCGCCCTTCCACGTGAACGCGTACGTGGTGCCGGGCTGCAGATCGGTGACCGTCTTCACCCGCCGCCCAGCCTTCACTCGCACGGTCCGGGGTGGCCGGCCGTCGGCGCTGTACGTCAGCTCGCCGCCAACAGACGGCAGCTGCAGCGTGGTGGAGTTGTGCGTGATGTCAAGAGGCAGCATGTCCAGCGTCTTGGCGAAGGCTGTGGTTGGTTTGCCGGTGGTAGTAGCTGACGTCGTGGGAGCGGATGTTGTCGTTTCACTGGTAGTGGTCTCAGCCGCCGGCTCCTCTGAAATGGCAAATGTGGGCGGTTGGCGAGTTAACAACAGACATGCTTAAGTCCTCCTGATATTATTTTGCGCAGACAACCTATGCTTTTACTCTAAACAGACATGGCGTCGTCCGAAAATTAACAGAGCAAACCAGAGCTGCTCCTGCAGTGCGGTGGTGACAAGGCCTCAGACTCATGAGGTACCGGTTCGCGTGCACAATACGATGAACCGAGCGACATTGTGGTGAACTGCGGTTAGCCAAATCAGTGCCAAAATTGGCATGCAGCCTTTGCATTACCACACGAAGGGGAACAGAAAGGAAAACGTATGAGGAACATGTAGACTCATGCGTGTTAACCATGACCGGACCAAACAGCTACTATTCCTTGAGGCGAATGGAGTGAAAAGGGCGCCGGTCTGACGGATCTAGTAGAGCGTCTCGCCCGGTTCCACGGCTACCCTGGTCACCTCCGGATGACCAGAGAAGAACTCCCTACATTCAGACAATGACGTTGCTCAGGACTGTCACACAAGTACGGCCAATTCAGTAATGGTCGTATACGCACAATAACATGAGGCGATGCCATCCATGTTGGCAATTTCAGCTATCAAAATGATATTTGAATTTAAACGAACCATTCCTTCAGCTAACGTTCCACAAACAAAGTATCACCAAGAGCTTACGTCGAGAAAAAAAGGAGTTCAGAAAATGTGATATCTGGCTCTCCTGCGTGCAATACCATGAGCCACACCACAGGTTTGAAATGTACAAAGAGGAATGTAACATGACCATGGTCTCTCGCGTAAACATATCTGAAAGATGTTCGTACGCTAGCACCGTAATATTCCCAGTTTGATCGTTAAACGACAGGCTCACAGACGACTCGACCGAGCCGTGGCGAGATTTGAGCCGACGTAAGACGGCTTGGTGTGCGGACCGTGTCTAAACTTTCCACGTAGTCCTCATCATGGGATTAAATTTTGTACCAGCGTGCTGACCAGAAAACAGTGAGGAATTTAACCCGGGTAATGCGGCCGGACCGCATGACTATCGGTGACAAAGGTGCTTCTGGAGGAGCTTGAAGTCACCGTGACTGTCCCTCGCCGTTTGCGTGTCTAGTATTTCATTCACCTGTCCGCTCGTTTTAATAAGTTGAGGTTCAAGTTGATCTGGACTCCAGATTCTGGATCCATGCAAACATTTAACGATGGCATTGGCTGCGATAGCTACTTTGCTACGATATGGTTGTAATGAAGACACTATTTATTTTCTAGCTCTGAATATTTACTCTTCCTTGTGGAACCTTTTTTGGCGCCCAGTTTCCAGCATTATGGCATGGAGCGATCGCACTATGTTATTCCATCACCGAGCATTCCGTAGCAAACGTGCACTTGCGGCACCGATAAGTGCCGGTACATATAACAAGGTCATGACAGGGTATGCAAATATAGAGTTACTACGAGATTAAGAAATATTAAGTGTATGCCGATGAGCACAGTTTAGGAGCTCTGGCTGGTGAGGCGCCGAGCCGATGTCACTTGACACCGGCCTGATTAGTTCATAGGGGCATCAGAGGACGCGCACCGTCCACCACTACGCTTTGAAACGAAAATCGATCGCCGCAGCAGTGGAAAATAGATGCAAAAGCCTTACGTCTAGCACCTTTTATTGTGAATATAGAACTAGTCCGAACATTCATCTGCCAATATCCGGGCTCATTAACTCGAACGTTGCTGAGATATTCAGATATTCACATTCTCCTTAAGATATAAGAGAAATTACTCAAAGAATCAAGCAGGTTGTTTTGTTTGTTTACTGACATGCTTGATGAACGCAATAATGACGAATTTCGGCGTATGCGATGGAAAATATTATCGTATCACCTGGTTTCGAAGCTAAATTATGCGCATACTGAAACTCAGCATTGCGCGACACACGCCGGCCTTCAAATTAAAACTAAACAACTGCTTCCGTAGCAAAATTATTTTGCTCATACCGAAAGCGAATCAGTGTACGTCTCCTGACAGCACCCCTGTTTAACCCAGCGGAACATGTTAATGAATAAGCCGGCCCGGCATGCTGCCACGTCTTCAGCCAATGCCATGACAGACGGGCGTAGGAGAGGTGCCCCGGTCATGCAGGCGTTACTCGCGAGTGTAATGGCGTATACCTCGGGCGGCGGCCCGACAGCCGCGGGCCAGGTCATTGGGGTCGCCGGCCAGGCCGGGTCTGCAGGAGCAGAGGCCGCCATCGCAGGCGGCACCCGGGCCGCACACCACATACGTGCAGGCGGCGCCTGCAGGGGGCGGCCGGCGTCAGCACGTGCTGCGCTCGTCCGGCCCGGTCGGCTGGCGGCAGCGGCGGCGATGGCACGGCAGCGCCCGGCCACGCCCACAGCCCCGACCGGCACGCGACAACAGGCACGCGGCATGTGCACACCACAGTCTGTCCTGTGATACGGGAGGAGGGGCACTGTGACAGACGTGACCGAAATCGCCTTATCTGTAGGTGGACATCTAAGGCAACTAGGATGAACAAAATCCTGGGGTCGTAATGGTGTGACCTATAACGCAGCAGCTGTTTTTTTACATTATGTCCAACGATTTCTTACCGTGCTATCTATGCATCCGGGCAGCTTACAACCTCAAAGGGAAGATGGAAGATTCCTCACCTATATGTCTGTCACGCTGACATTTAATCAGGAACGAAGACAGATGAACGCTAAATATACTGGGGTATTTTTAAAATTACTTGATTTGATTTCGTTTACGACGATTGATTGTTATGACCTTAGCACAAATGTTCAGCAAAACGCGCATTTGGCTTATCTGTATGCAATTTCGGGCAATGTAATGTTAAAAGCTTTTTTTACTCGGACGCTTGTATGTCGATCGATACCATGCTCCACATTATTACGGCCCTAGACGCGTCGCGCTTTCCAATGCAAGGTCTTACGATATCATGATGGGCAGTTTCTTCGGGTTTACTACACCTTAACTGGTATAATCTGTCCTTGCACTGCTAATTATTCGGGAGTATCCGCACATCAGTTCCCCGTCGACTGAGGACCGGGAAGCGGACCAATTTGATGGCTGGAGTGGTGGAACGAGATCGGCCCATAGCCTGAGGGTGGTGGAAGTGGAGCAGCCCCCTGCGACCGAGGGCGGTGGAAGTGGAGCAGCGGCGGTGGCCTCGGCTCGCTGTCCGGGCGGCGGCGGCGGCGGCCCGGCTCGCGCCGCTCGTGCGGGCGCCCGCCGCATGCTGATGAGCCATGCAGCGGACGCCGGCGGCCGGCGCTCTCTCGGAACCCGGGGCCACTGCCCGGGCCGCCCCGGCCAGAACGGCGTGCGGCCTTGGCAGGATTGCAGCGTGCCGACCGACCGAGGAGGGGTGGGGCGGCCCAGCCCGGAACAGCAGCGTGTCGACCGACCGAGGAGGGGTGGGGCGGTCCGGGACAGCAGCGTGTCGACCGACCGAGGAGGGGTGGGGCGGCCCGGGACAGCAGCGTGTCGACCGACCGAGGAGGGGAAGGGCGGCCCGGCCCGGGACAGCAGCGTGCAGGCCGACCTAGGAGGGGTGGGGCGGCCCGGCCCGGAACAGCAGCGTGACAACCAACCGAGGAGGGTACTTGGTCCGGAACAGCAGCGTTGCTGGAATACAGCTGCCCATTGGCAAAAGAGACACTGGAGTCGCCGTCGGGCTGCAGCGTAGGTGGCGAAGGAACATTGAAACATTTTTTTGTTTACATTGGAGAGCCCACAGGTGTGGTGCAGCTAACCAGCTGCACCACACCTGCGACACAAAGAGCAATGTTGTTTATAAGCTGCGAAACGACAGCCAGTTCATTAGCTTAACACGCATCTTCTCGGCCGAGGTAAAAAGAAAACACACTCTTTATGTAGCCAAGTGAATAAATTATGTGTCGATTTTTTGCATACCGATAACTGAAAGAACTATTCCTCGGAATGTTGATAATAAAGTGATATGGCATTCAGGACACTCGGGATACCTCATCTTCTGGTATCAACTGGTTCTTATGCGTTTCTCGGGTGCACTGAGGTGCCAAATGACATAGATTCACATCGCAGTTATGAACTGACCTCAGCAAAGCATTTCGGTTAATCTAGAAAAAGAGCCTCGACCAGTCAGCGTCCTACGAAAGACTTAAGCCGGCTTCTAAACTGAGTCTACGTCTTCGCAGCCATGCCTCACTCAACGCAGCAGAGCCGGGCTGCCGGAGCTGCGGAGAACGCACCGGTGGAGCCGACGACACTCTCGTCGTCGGCGACGCGCGGCGCCGCACCAGCCGGCTGCGAGGCCGACGGCGGCTCAGGGTTGGCGCAGACGACGTTGACGCAGCAGCCGCCGGCGATGGCCGAGCCCCGCAGCTCGGTGCAGTCTGGGTCATCCTTGAACGTGCCCGGCCTGTAGAAGCCTGCGGGGGAAAAGAAGCTGAGTTGGTCTGTTTGACTGCGGATAATACGCTTCCTTCTTCAGTCGAACGAAGGACAACTGCAGCGTGTACAGATGCGGCAACGGCGACAGACGTGGCGTCTCCAGACAGAATGCTCCACACCTGCAGCACGGACGGGCAGAGGGACGCGTCGGCACATGACGTGGTCGGACATAGACTGGCAGGAGGACGCGTCGGTACTGGACGTGGTCGGACATGGACTGGCAGGAGGACGCGTCGGTGTGGGACGTGGTCGGACCTGAATTGGCAGGAGGACGCGTCGGTACGGGACGTGATCGGACGTGGACTGGCAGGAGGACGCGTCGGTACTGGACGTGGTCGGACGTGGACTGGCAGGAGGACGCGTCGGTATGGGACGTGGTCGGACATGAACTGGCAGGAGGACGCGTCGGTATGGGACGTGGTCGGACATGAATTGGCAGGAGGACGCGTGGGTACGGGACGTGGTCGGACGTGGACTGGCAGGAGGACGCGTCGGTACGGGACGTGGTCGGTCATAAACTGGCAGGAGGACGCGTCGGTACGGGACGTGGTCGGACGTGGACTGGCAGGAGGACGCGTCGGTACGGGACGTGGTCGGTCATGAACTGGCAGGAGGACGCGTCGGTACGGGACGTGGTCGGTCATGAACTGGCAGGAGGGCGCGTCGGTACGGGACGTGGTCGGACGTGGATTGGTAGGAGGACGCGACGGTGCGGGACGTGGTCGGTCATGAACTGGCAGGAGGACGCGTCAGTACGGGACGTGATCTGTTCACGCGACGCACGCTTTCCCTGACACTCTCTGAGGGATGAAAGGTGGTTTCAGCGTTTACATACACAAAGACCCAAAGCCTGTTTTGGTCTGACAGAAAGAAGACAAGGCTTACGCATGGACACCCCAGGGCTTGCCCCAGTTTGACAAAAAGGACACATAATTGTTTGCTTATTCGGCACACGTACGAACGCACCATGACTGAGAGAACAGTCATGTTTTCAGGTGCACCCATCCACTCCGGGACCTGAAGTAGCACGGCAGATGGTACAGTTATATCATTAATACCGACGCACCATTACCACGAAGCCTCAAACGATCCGAAGCGGTGACAGCAGCAGAGCAGACGACAATACCACCGGAGACTGCAGCACAGAGTTTGTACAAAACACCGCGGTCAACCGACCGGTGAGCGTCGGCGGCCGGACAACGGGACGCCATAGTCTTCTACCGGGTAAGCGTCCTTGATTTCGCACAAGATTACGTGCAAGCCACCACTGACACGCCTTTCCATGGCATATACGCACTTTTTACAGAGAAACTGTACATCATTCACACATATTTTCTCTAATTGCTATGCATTACACGTAAGCAGCAATGGCCGGTGCAGAAAGCACGCAGAGACCGTCTGTGTCTGTCGGGCGGGTGGCAGTCTCACCTGGAGGACAGACCGTCGGCGTGCAGTTGAACTGGCCGCCGGGGCCGCACACGCACGTCTGCTCGCAGTCGGCCCGAAAGATGCGCTCGCCGACGTCCACAGTGCCGGCCTGCTCGTCCTCGCAGCCCACTGCAACAGACAGGAAGGGTCAGGCGACTGCCAGGCCGCCAGCCACAGGCTGCGCCGCTCACCGCCGGAGGTGAGCGGCGAGCGTGGCAGCTCGGTCAGGAGAACCAGACAGCGGTGTGATGAAGACCATCCTCGGTACGTCAGACAAGGGGTGTTTGTCCGCCGCTTTGTGACGCGTATGCGATTGAATGGGAAGCCTTCTAAAGATGGCTGGGCAAAACCTGCATATGGGACAATGGTCTGTATTGTTTATAGCATAATTACCTGCAGTTATCTGATGTGCGGCTAAGGCACAAAGCAAAGGGCTAGTTTGAATTAAACAATCTTCCAGGAATCGCAACACTATTCTTGTCATCACTCTCGCTATTGTACACGCGACCATGTCGGAGGACCGTCATTACGAGCTGTCTTAATCTTGACAAGGCCAGAGTCCCCGGCAAATCATGCCGCCATGCTATTAAAACATGCATCTCGCCGCTGGGAGCCGGCGTGGCGGCGTGCTTATGTGCTGCATACGAATGAGCAATGTTCGGCAATGCTTTTCCTATTGTTTCCATAGCTTTTTCAACTCCAAATGCATAAGCATCATATATAAAACTCAATCATGCAGCTGGTAAATGCTTTGTAACTGACCAACGCCAGCTTGGCCCTTGCACCAGAGGTTTTCCGCTTCCAGCCGACGCCCACTCACATGGTGCTGATTCACACCAATGACATGGCCACGAGCCGACAGTGAAGCGGCATTTGCTGACGAGGATGATCACACGGATGACCGACTGAGGCAGCGGTGGTCCGAGTAGACAGAGCCCGAATGCCGTGCCCTTAACGCACGCTGATGGGCTGAGCCATCAGCCTAGCTTACGCCGCAGCCGCTCTAGGTGAGGATTCCATCTCAACGCCCAGCACAGAGTCCCCACGCCTGGTCAGCTTGTTCGCTGCCATAGCATCGCTTTCTAATGACACCGACTACATACCCTGCGCAGAAAGCAGCCATGCTTGAGAAGCAGTCCGGGTGTCTCGTTAACACTCATTAGTGCAATGTCTCGGAAAGTTTTTTTGAAAAAAATGTTTTGCTGATCTGCCGACTCCATGGTGGCTCCGTCTCCGTACCGCCCCGGCGACGCTGGGCAAGCCTGTGCACTCCCAGCAACGACGCGAAAATGTCAACGACAGGTAAGCTACGGGCGGGCTGCACCCTCAGGGCAAAGTCTGTCTCGTGCAGATCGGCGGCGGGAAATTTCCCGGCGGAAAAATACAGAACACGAGACATGCTCATTTTGCCTCCTCTTCCACCACCTCCTAAAAGCTGTATTGTGAAAGCGCAGTAGGCACTGCGAAATGCAAAGCTCTGACATCATATCTCCGCGTCGCAAGCCGTATATATTCCATGATGATCCCCACGAAAGCCTCCACAAGGCTGGCAATAAGCCATGGACCACGTTGCCCGGACACCGCCTGTTTGCGATGCAAACAGGGCCTGCCTGGTCATCCGGCGCTCGGCATGAGCCGCACCTAGAGGCTCTCTGTGGCACACTCGCGGCGTATATCTGCACCGGCGCCCTCCCTTGTATCGGACGGGTGAGCGCTGAGCTGAGGCAGGTGTGTCTGAGCCCACTCTCGGGCCGGCGCCCTCCCTTGTGTCGGACGGGTGGACGCTGAGCTGAGGCAGGTGTGTCTGAGCCCGCTCTCGGGCCGGCGCCCTCCCTTGTGTCGGACGGGTGGACGCTGAGCTGAGGCAGGTGTGTCTGAGCCCGCTCTCGGGCCGGCGCCCTCCCTTGTGTCGGACGGGTGGACGCTGAGCTGAGGCAGGTGGGTCTGAGCCCGCTCTCGGGCCGGCGTCCGCCCTTGTGTCGGACGGGTGGACGCTGAGCTGAGGCGGGTGTGTCTGAGCCCGCTCTCGGGCCGGCGCCCTCCCTGGTGTCGGACGGGTGGACGCTGAGCTGAGGCAGGTGGGTCTGAGCCCGCTCTCGGGCCGGCGTCCGCCCATGCACAGCGGCTCCGGCCGCCCGGCTAGCTGGAGTAGGGCGCCCACACCGGCCGGGCCACTACTCACGACGGTGCGGCCTGCCAGGAACGGCGCGGACCAGACATCACGACGGTGCGATCTGTCAGGAGTGCCGCGGACCACACATCACACCGGCCGGGCCACTCATCACGACGGTGCGGCCTGTCAGGAACGGCGCGAGCCACACATCCCGACGGCGCGGTCTGTCAGGAGCGGCGCGGGCCAGGTCAGGTCGGCTCCCGCCGGCTGTGGTGACAGCTGTGGCGCCCAGCCCGAGGCGAGCGGTGGGAGCCGCTCCGTCAGCGGCAGGATCCGCTGCCAATCCCGGACGGAGCCGACGCTTACCCGCTCCACAACTGGCGGCCGGGACGCCGACCCCACCACGGCTGGCGTGCGCTTCACATTCCAAAGGACTCACTATGCTCTGACTTCGAGTTTGCGTGCTGCGAAGCACGATGACCGGCAGTGCAGCATGGGTACGACTAGCGACAAAGGTAAGAGCAAATGAAGCCCGATAGAGTCTGTGAAATCCCTCAAATGTCTTTTGCCACCACTAGCCCCAAACCTAATTCGACATTTTGTCTCTTTTCTGTGACGCAGCCGTGTCCAGCCTGGTTATCGTCATTATTTTGTGTCCAGTCAGCAAGACAGGCGGCTGAGCCTACGGTCTCGGTGGTCGCACTGTCCCAGGCCCACAGGCCCACCCTGAGCAGGGTCGTGACGTCGTGACGTCACCACCGGCTGGACGGGCAGGCACGTGCCACGTGCCGGCGCCGGGTGACTCAGCACGACTCCGTGGGTTTCCCGCCACCACAGCGAGCGAAGAAGAGCCGCGGCCGGCCCGCCGAGCGCGACGTCCGGGCTAGGTCACGTGGGTCCCCGGACCTGGCGGGCGGCCTGGCCGGGTCACGTGTCTCCCCACAACGGACGGAACCGGACAGTGTAACACCAGATGTCGCCATGACGGCCAGAGCCTCCTCTCTCTTTGGAGAAAGCATTTTTTAGAATGACAAGAACTATACTTTTCCAAACAAAAAGCAGAGGTATGTGCATATATATATATATATATATATATATATATATATATATACATACATATCATATCATTGTTCTCCATGTCGGATTGGGGACTACTTCTTTAGGCGTTTGTGACTACGAAAAAGCTAAGTAAAATGCAAGGGAAAAATGCCACACCCTTGTTATTCAATTATCAGTTTTCACGGTGTCATAAGTTTACAAATGATGCCTAGGTACTGCTTTTTTAGGGGGCGCGATTGTGGTAATTTTTGCCGTCGCAGTTTCCATCCTGTTGCACCTAGAGGGAGAGCTCAAACCTGGACATATTTCAGTTGTTTGGAATTTGTTGTAACTTAAATGCTCATTTTGTAGTCACACAAGCATGCTCGTTGACGGCAAACCAGCCAGAAGGCTATTCCAGTGGCCCAGTCTCTTTGATGGGGATGCAAATACACCAAGACTATTTGCAGCCGTAATCCATCACGACTGTAAACGCACCGCTGCTCTTTTGAAAGAGTATTCATGCTACAAAGGTAGAGATTTGCATAGCCTAAAGCGAAAGGACTTCCATCTGATGGCACTTGCATCACGCGTAACAGCATTTTGTTCACAGTGCTGCGGCCGAAGATAAAGCGCAAGAGTGACATGAACATTCCAGACGTTCGGGGCTCGTCCGGGTTGAGAATCTGCTTTTCAGAGTAGAAGCTGCTTCCCCGGTCCGCAAAAATGGCACTGCAATAGTTTCTTCGCACCAAAATCCCTTTAATATCCGGCAGTTCTTTCCCCCCAATATTGATTTTAGGATTCGGATTTTAATTCACCCGATTTTAGCCTGCGGAGAAGCATGACTGGACTCCCCATAACCTGGTATAAGCTTGAGAATGTTCAGTTCCAGCTGGCTCACGGTAACCTTCTAACGCAGGAACAGCGCCATCACAAAGAAAGCTTTCAGAGCAGTGGCCACCATGAACACAATCACACCTTGAATCTTACTGGGGTCCATTTATATTCTGGTGCCACTCAGATGGTCAAAACACAGGTATAGCCCGAACTGTCCAAAAGGAGCTAGTGTCCCGAACCCGCCGACTCCACTGATTGTTACGCCCATGGCTGACACGTTCGTATATATGAATGTTAGTCGAGGTCAAGCCAAAACTGGCAGTGTGAGCCTGACGTGCTCAATCGGCTTTGGCAATGTCCCGTGACTCGAGTTTCAAGCCACGGCCGCCAGTCGGCAGCAGCGGCGGCGGGCGAATGGGTCCAGCAGGCCAAACGCCACTTGTTAGCAGCTAACACGACTCTGTGCACCTCACCGCTGACGTAACGAGGACGAGAACGGTTGTGGTTGCATATTTCAGTGTGCAGTGCCTACTAGCCACATCTGTTGAAAGGACGAACAAGCCCCTTTTTCATGAAAGTTCTGTTGTGCACCGCGCTTTTCCCACCACTGCTGAGAACAAACTAAACTAACTGTACGGAGCAGTGCACTCAATCTCACGCACCTTTTGTGCACTTACTTCGAAAAACGCGCCGGGGACGAGCTAAGGATCTGTAACACTGAGGATCTGTAAGGATCTGTAAGTTAACAGCGTCGGCATAAAGCAGTGGCATGTCTGTCACATTCTTGTGCATTTATCAGTTTTAGCTCAGAGCGCTGTAGCGATGACACAAATAATACCTGCATTTACATTTGAGGGAATCGATGGCATTTTGCGTTTCCATGGCAATGCCTCTGTCGATCCTCAGATTTTCGGGCGGCATCGCAGCTGCAGCGCGGCAGCCAGCCGTCGGTGTATGAGGTTAACCGGCATCAAGGTCTCACTATCGCCAACACCGGTTGCGGCCGAACAGAGCTGACGACGGCCACCCCACACGGCTCCGGCGCCGGCCCCGGCTCCATCCCACTTCCTCGGCAGCTCCAGCTCCCAGGCTTGCTCCCCGCACGCCACGACGAGGGCGGGAACACGCCACTCATGGATGGTGGATCGCTTTCCGATCAGAGATTGTTCGACCGGTCTCAAGTCACGCAAAGCAACGGGTACATTTGAAGGCGTGTACCAGCACACGCAGGGCTATCACTGAGCGAATGCACAGCGCCGACATTCCACTCTGCGCATAGGTTTCACGCTCATGGTAATTCGGCATGCTTGTGCGATATTCGACCGTTCAATCTTTGCACGCAAAGCCGAAGCGCATGAATGCACACGCTTAAATGGGTAACACCCAGGACCCTATGTGCTTACGCGATCTTAAATCACGGGTGATCAATGTAAACCTAAAATGCAGGATCCACCGCAGCCCACATGGCCAGCATGGAGGTGCCGAGGCGACGGGAGCTCGGGAGCTCGGGAGTTTGGGGCTCGCGGTACTGACAGGACCCAGGTGGCATCAGTCATCAGTCATCAGTCATCAGCCAACAACAGGACGGCACCGAGCCCACTGAAGTTCACGTGAACCGGTCTGGGACTATCAGAGCGCAAGAACCGGTCTGGAGGTGGCGGCCGCGCACGGCGGACCCGGTCGAGCTGACGGGAGACAGTGACGACGGCGCGTGCCGTGCCATCGCGGCGCCGGTCGAAGCGTCGGAGGTCGAAGCGTCTCGGTGTCATGTCGACTCGGCCAGGCCGGGCCGGTCAGGTCTGGCCGGATCCACCGGCGGCACCGGGCCGGCGGCACGACATAGACGCGAACGTACGTCAGCACCGCGGACGGCGCCAGCGCTTCGCGCCACGATGCGATCCGCGCCACGAGTGACCGCGAGAAGCGCCATGTGTAATTTCCAGACGTGCCACATGGGATCACATGTGATAGAAACGACCTAGAGATGTGCCCCGAGCGAGGGCGAGATGTGACACGTGTTGCGAGGAACGCATCGAGCCAGGTGTCAGCGGAATGATGCTGTGCCAGTTGTGACGAAGGGGGGGGGGGGGCGGGGGAACGCGTCGCGTGCGGCCAATAGTTCACGCGAACACGACGCGTTCTCGGCCCCCGTGCAGTTCCCACCCAACGATCGACTACGTCTTGAGGAGCGTGGCCGTCTGTTAACCCTCCCAGACGCCCCCACCCCCGCCGAGCCGTCAGCTCCCGACGTGATGGCGTCCTTGCTGCCGTGCATGCCCACCCACCAGGACCCCGTGCTCTGACCATCGTCACCGGGCAGCTGGACTGAGGAGTGCAGTCAGATCATAGCTGGCCAGAGAAGAGGGGCACGCGTCGGAACGCCGGTTGATTTTCCGGACGTCATTCGCGAGTTGGCCTCGAGGAGGTGTGTCTGCTGGCCACGGCTTCCGGTGGGGAAACCGCGCCTGGCGCGCACCGCGGCTGGTGTAAACAGGTGGAGCTCGCTGCCAAGTCAGTGGTAAAGACAACCCTGCTCATCGATTTTAGTCTTCCCACCGTGTCGGCAGTCAGGCACTGGCAGGCCCTCTGAGTTACAAACATCGCGATGTAAAACACAGAGTCCAATGGCAATTTTAACCAATCCTTTGCGGGTGCACTCCAACCCGTTCCGCAAACATATATACGACATCTGAACATATAGGAAGCAAGTAGAGTCAAACGCAAGCATTCCAAGCTGCTTTCTTCTCGTTCAGCTCGATGATATAGGTGGGAAACATGACCAGTCTTAAATGACCGTGTGAAGTAGCATATCATTTCGCAAAGGCAGTCCGCTATGGTACAATAGGTGCGGGGCTTGCAGCCCTCCCCTAATCTCCGCAGTGGTTAGCAATAGACGAAGCTCCAGAAATGCCACCACTAGCTGCGTTCAGCCCACCGCAGTTGTAGCCTAGTAGGCTTTACTACCCATGCTAATGCTTCTGCCGTGTGAAGCTTGTGTGCTTTCCCACCAACACAGAGGTTCAAGGCGTCGAGGAAATCTCGATCTTTTTCACACCCATGGCCTGAAATCCAACATAGCGAAAGCAGCGCACAGGTTCAGACTGCACGCTGGGCCTTGGTCCCTAATCTCTCGCACGCCCTGGCCGCCGGCCTGAGCGGGCTGCACGCACCAATAACTCTCCGTGAGTCCAGTCGCAGCGTGCGCCATGCGGCCAGCTGCGCTCCGATTCCGGGAACCTCTCACGCGCGCGGCCTCCCGCCGGGCCCAGATGGGGTTTGGGGTGAGGTGGGGGAGGAGTAACCCGCTTTGGCCGCCGCATCGGACCCATGGCACAACGCGTCGGGCAGACTGCGCCATGGCGTGTGCCTGACGTGGCACCGAGCGAGGTCCGCGGTCCCGCGGTCCGAACCCGCCTCCGATGCTCTTCCGATGCCAGCTCGAGATTAGAACACGGGCTCGCTACATGAGCGACCGCATGCACGATATGTGCTTAAGATCCACGTCCTTGAACCGTCACTGTTCGCGCCTTTGCTGTAATTCCTCACTTGCAGGGTCCGGAGGAAACATCTACCACGTTAGTACTTGCCCAGACATGCCCAGGAATGCAGTGACGAAAGGTTAAATGTTTATTCTCATTTGTTTAGTCACAGCTGCAGGTAAGTGAAACCCGACGAGTATCCGGACGTCGAGCGCCCTCCTTTGCCTCCATAGCCCTCAGCATTATCATCTATCGTCCTTAGCTTTCCTTTTTCGATGGCTACTTGACATGAGCACCAGTGAGCGCCTTATGTGGATGTGGTGGGAGGGTGAAAAGAACAAAGGCCTTCTTTGCCCCATCCGCGGATCGTAGGCCCCGGCTGACTGCATTGTCTCGGACTGTGGGGGGCGGGATGCTGGCACGCTGACGTCACAGCTCCACTGCTGGCGACGAACCAGCTCGGCGTACAGTCCGGTCCGCTCCCCAGAGTCTGATGTCACAGCTCCACTGCTGGCGACGGACCAGCTCGGCGTACAATCCGGTCCGCTCCCCAGAGTCTGACGTCACAGCTCTACTGCTGGCAACGTACCAGCTCGGCGTAGAGTCCGGTCCGCTCCTCAGAGTCTGACGTTACAGCTCTACTGCTGGCAACGGACCAGCTCGGCGTAGAGTCCGGTCCGCTCCCCAGAGCCTGACGTCACAGCCCCACTGCTAGGTGCGCATCAGCTTGCATACCACTTTTTATATTCGGGCTTAAGACTGGATACTTGAAGCTTTTCTTGGGTACCTGTTTAAGACACGGCTTGGGACAGACCAGCTTCGGCTCATGCCTGACATTGGACGGGGCGTGTCCGAATTTTGACGGAGTGTCGTGTCTACGGTTCATAATCATTGAACCCGCACTGCATGTGTGATACGGATTCAATGGAACTTTGCATAACAGTTGCCTGTGTACAGGGGTAGAGTCATGTGATGCGTCACCACTACATACGCACACAGTCGCACTCCGCGCCTCACCAACCGCCCTATGCCTCCCTCGCCGGCTGCGCAGCGCCAACTGACCTTTGACACAGGCATTGGTGTCCGCCTCGAAGGAGAAGCCCTGGGGGCAGCTGCAGACCGGCCGGTGGCTGCGCGTGCGACACACACCGTTCTTCAGCGAGCTGTTGCACGGGTCCAGCAGCGTGCACGGGTCGAAGCACACCCCGCCCAAGCAGAACCGGTCACTGGCACATTCGCCATCACTGCGACACTTTTTCTCGTCTGGAACAGGACAAATGAAGCGTTACCGTCTGCTGTTGCGGTATTTGGCGACACAACCGCCCAGACAGGTTGTGTTCCCACCGCTGGTGTACACTTAAGCTGTTTGAAGTGTCTTGTGGCTGGAATGGAACCTAAACGCATCGATGGCGAGCCCTTTGCCTTGATATGCAGCGTCACCTTTGAGGCTGAAATGTAGCTGTATGCCATCTAAGATACGCTGTGCAATTTCACTGCAAGACCAGCCTTCTACAACGCTTTTTCAGTTGTCCAGATCTACCATTTGAAACAGTCATTCATGCAACACTTTGCCATCGATTTTTCTTGTCAGAACAAATAGAAACACATCCTCTTACTAAGCTCCGCCTTGGTTTTATCCACTTGCGGTTGGTCTTTGTGCAACATGCATCATGACACACTATTCAATAAATGAACTGTATAATAGCTTGTCATACGCAATTTCGGTAAGACTGCGTTGCTCTGAACATTGCAATCCAGCAGAGCGACGGCGGCTTAATGTCGGTGAGATAAGCATCAGCTGCCGTTAACAAACTACAAAGGCTCGCCGCCAGCAAGGCGACGATTTCTCCAGCCTTTCAAATTAATATTTTAGTTGCCAGACTGCCTACGGTCGCCGTAAGCAATCTAGCAACTCAACAGCAGAAGTCAGATGGTGTTGTGGACAGGCGTCGCCAGCGCTGTAGGTTTGAAATTGGGCTACAACCAATTCCCGGTTACATGTCTTGGGTAACCCAGGAGCACCAGCCGGTGCCGTGTATTGCAATAACAAGTTCAACAGATAAGCTGCAAAAGACATTTGTGGTGGCTCGCGAAACATAAAATAATTTCTTCCATGCTTGTGCGGGGGAGAAGCTAAAAGACCCATCCCCCTAGTTTCTATTTTGTAGTTACTGAACCGTTTTGCTGGTGTGTAACCATCAGATGTCATGGTTTGTCGCAGAGTACAAGTATACATGTTGGCGGGGGGCTCGAAGTCGTGAGATCTAGATCGATGACATCGCATACAATTTTTTGCCCATCCAGTGCTTATTAGTGCACCTCTATGCATTTGTCCGGAGTGCGGACCTGGGTTAATACTGTCCCTGAAACAAGCTCTGTTCGCAAAAGGCTTCCCGAAAACGGAATGCTTTCTGATCGCTGTTGGTTGTAATGGTTGCCGCCACATACTCAGACATGACGGCACCATCTTGACTACCTTGACTGACTGAATGGCGAACTTGAATGGCTGAGAACCGTATGGCGGGCTGGTTCAGACAGAGGCCGGTGTAAATATAAATATGACATGCTTTCATGTTTAAAAAATTGATGTTCACCATGCCATGAAAACATGATTTTCGTTCCTGTCGTTACCAGAAATTGGAGCGACATACATCTCATGATTCTGACTAAATCAACCGCAAACCTAACAAATCTGATTGTCATGTGTTCGACACATAGGCAATAAATCCACTTAGCTCTACCCTGTGAGGAGCAACCACACTGATACGCATCATTCATACAAACATCAAACTTAAAACAGAATGCCACATGATTGACTTGGTCAGGCTCTATTTGGGACATTCCGTGCTCTTTCGATCTTTTATTAAATGCCTTACATACGTACATACATATATATATATATATATATATATATATATATATATCATTAAGGCAAATATAGCTATAGTAGTGGTGATAGATAACGCCCAAACCGCCGTGTGCATCTCAGTAAGGCCTTAGTTGTTTGGCCATACAGCGTGGCATTAACGATTTTTACGAAGGCTTGTGACACACTGACATTGAATGGACTAGGCTTTTTTCCTGAAACGCCCGCCAGATTACGTCAAATGCTTACAACACATACACATTGCGGGCTACCGGGCTATCGGACAACCTGCCAGGAAGACACCTGGCAGATACTACGATAAAAGCTAAAAAATTGGCCTACTGATTAACAGAGAATAATTCATTAGTTCTAACAAGACCGTAACATTTTTTCGTCGTTCAGATGCTTCCACGTTGGCAGTCGAGTATTTCTGAGAAAGGAGTTCAGTTCAAATATCAGAACGAGGCCTACTTAGTACACCCAGTTCCCTCAAACAAGTAATGCTCCGGAAACACACCAGATAACTCACTCCATGGTTTTACACCAGGGAAAACATGTAAGTTGATGGCTAGTGAGCCAAGAAGTGTACAAAGCCAATGAGTGAACCACCCAACTGCAATTTTCCCGGATGTTTGGTCAAGTCCGGATTTAGCGGGGCTTCTATTCCATGGTTTGGCATGTTGCTCCGCTGCTCTCCCTGCCCGCTCCGTGGTGGCGCCCATACAGGCGGATCTCTCTGCTGGCTACGGGAAGCCAGCTGGTGGCAGTCCGCCGCTTGTCGGACCAGTTTCTCTGGTGTTGGTCAACTGCATCAGCGCTCGGTCGGGAAGACTTGGCAGCTGGCCAACAGTCGTCGTTGCCGCGTCCGGCTCGCCTGTCCTTAAATAGGCCGTGCCAAGCTTCGGACCGCCCGGCTTAGTGGAGCTTGCCTCCCCGCCTGCCGGGACCGGCCTGCCGACCCAGGTCTGGGTCTGGGTAAGCCGTGCCGATTGGCTCCCCGCCTTTCGGTCGGCGGCGCCAGGTGGTGGCTGCGTCAATGCCACATCCCGCCTTCGCAGGACACACGTCCCGGACAGCTGTTGACCTACTGGAGCGCCAAACAGTGGCGACCGACGGCGAAAAGGGAGAGACGACAGCTGACGCACAGCGCCAAAACGCTGCTCAGACGCGGCCGAAGCGGCTGAGACGGGGTGGAGGTGCTGACCTGGCCAGCGGAACGCTACGTGGATGGAGGTACTGAGGGCTAATCCTATTGCGATCCACCAGCTCTAAATCCGGCTGGCTCAACGATCCACCTTTTCCCGAGATACAAAATCCAACATGGTGCAATGCGGCCAAAGCTCAACACCATCGTCATTAAACCATTGCATATTTGTGCCTGGTTTAATACAGGATTTTAAAATGAGCACGGAAGAGTACATTGGCTAATGTTCGACTGACACGAGGCTCCTCAACCCATCTTTATTGAATCGTTCGGTCCAAAGCATTAACACCATCAAATTCTCGCTCATGTGGTTTGGAAAGTTCCCGACGCAGTCGAATTTTAAACCTTTTGCTCTGAGATACCAGGCCAGAAAAGGTGACCAGGATCTGATGAAGGCCAGGTTCAGAGACAGCTGCGTGTGGTTCAGCTTTCTCAGCTTGGTGATCGAAATTGTGACCTTTCCGTGTGCTTATCTGTTAGTGTCCAGCCGAGCAGTTTCTCTGATAATGAATGCATTTACCTCTTAATGGCTCACTGTTAGCGGCACTACGACGTCCACATTTCCGGAGTGGGGTCGGAATCAGTTGTGCGTCGGCGTTAATTTAATTAATATGTTCTATCGGATAGCAGTCATACGCCATGAGATGTGAACAAATGGCATGCTTGATACGCAAGTCAAACCGGCTTGCAACTTCCCGCGATGCTGAACAACTTACTAATGAAGAACGCTACAGGTCACATGCGATAGTTCACTGGGGTCCATGCAGAGGGGCATTCCGGCGATGCCCTCCTCCTTGAAACACCCAGAGAGGGATTGCTATGTCTTATGGCCCCCAAAACTTCCCTACAGATTTCACTAATGAGATAAAGGTTGAGACCTGAGATCGGCAAAATGAAATAAAAACATAAGGATGGAAAAGTGAGATATCCTTGGCAATTTTGAAGCATCAGTTATGCCTCAGTTATGAACAACCTCATTCGCTTATTTGATTATGGGGTCAATATGCTCATGAGAAATTTCACTCCAAACATGCAATTTACGCCTGACACGGTCGGCGTGATCATTTCAGTTCACGACGGTTTGACCTTACGAAAAGGCTGACCTTCGCAAATTTTTTAGAAAAAAACGACGAGAGAAGAACGCGCCTAAAGTGTGATAAAGCTACAATTGAGCAAACGACGAAAGACAGGTTTTTAAAGCCAATTTCCACAGCATACTGAAGAGCCTCATGCAGTACTAACAGTGTGGGTAAAACAGGAATTAAAAAGTGGTCATTAATAAAACGTTAAAATACGTTTCTAAGTTTTGGTGTCATAGAAAACAGACAAGCCTGATGGCAGTTCACGCGTTCTCACAGATCGTTTAAAGTGACCCGGATATTAGCCCTTCATTGCCGTTGCTGTCACTTTTTTAATTTATATTTTTTGGTATCTCTTATCTGAACTTGAAATTATTCAACCCGAATCGGAGGAAAATCATAATCACAGCAATACCATACCTCATTTACCTGAGCTGTTTACCTCCAAACCGGACGGTTAGATCCATTTTTGGCATACCTTAGGCTAAAGATGGATTGCTTTAATTGCGTTGATATAGTTTCTGACGGAACATGTCAAATCAATATGGTTATTGTCATGACCACAGATAGAGGCTTAAGTTGTCATTCTTCATCATGCATTTTGACAGTTTCTTAAACTCTCTTTATATTTTCACAGAAAGCAGACTAAGGTGACCCAAATCCGAGAAGCTGAGTTTTTGGGGTGAATTCAGCAATTTCGTAAAACGATTTGGCTCCTCCCCCAGCACCGAGCGACTAGATCCGCCAGTGCGACAGTCGTTTAGCTCCCCCACTCCACTTTCACCTTCTCAGTCCCTGTGCAATAGTTATCTGTGAATCGAGCCGTTGCAAGCCATGACACCAATGAGCCTCTGCCCGCGCCTCAGCCAGCCTCAGCCTCAGCCTCAGTCAGACAACAGCCGGTCGCAACAAGTGCACACAACACACGGCACGGTCAACAGGGCCGAGGACATGGACGCGGGCCAATATTTACCAACCGCAGCGGCGGGGTTCAGCCGGTCGGGAGGTACCGCGCGCATGCTAGCTGCGATATGAGCAAACAGATCCCATGGTGCAGCTGCAGCCAAGCAATCCGAGTAGCTCAAGGCTAAATATACACCGCGCATTACAAAGC